GCGTGCGCGTGCACACACACACAACCAAATGTTCACAACTATTTGATAAACTTCCATTCTTGACTTAAAACCCCATTTCATCTCTCAATCCAACTAGCTGGTGGACTCCAAGCTAGATATGGGGCAGGGTCAACAAGGACATCTGCATGTCGCTCTGCCCTCTCTCTTTGATGTGGCGCTCAATCTGGACGCACTAAACACAGAGATCCGATTGGGCAGTGTGATTGTGGACAGGAGCTTCCACCAACTGAATGGGAGGTGTGCCCCTTTGGCCAACTTCTTTACACGCATAAGACATATTCCCACATTACCATCTAACCCCTTTCGGTATCCTGTAATTGATGCTCACCAATTTGTCCTCGTGTTTTTATATGATCCCAGAATGTAATAGCCCCCGAAAGGTAGGGGCGTTGACATACTTTCGGTTTGATTTGGGCCCCCGAAAAGGTTTAGCTGAATCTAGGTATCTAATAGATGTGCTGAGAACAAGCTTGTACTATTGTTTACTATAAGAAGTCAAAGATATACCAGAATTTACAACCCTAATAACAAGCACTAGCTGGATCCACGAGCTGTGGTCCTGATGAAGCGGCAAGTATGAAACCCTTCCTCACATTTTAGCTGTTAATTGGTTTAAATCCTATGCACTCGGGCAGCATTTACCGACCCCGCATGCCTTGGTCCCGATGGGGCAGCAGGCATACGAGCCGTTTTTCTTCATGCACGCGCCCGCCTTGCAGCACATGATTCCTCCGCAGCACGGGTACTCCATGTTTTAGAGGTCTTTCCTCTAGTTGGCAGGAATTGGGAAATGTTCTAAGCAATAGAGCTCTGTCTTAGCTTTCCAACAAGCCATCAAGTACGTCAATCGCCTAAGCATTCGCCGAGATATAGGCGTTCACGTGCTAGGTGGTGCTCTTGAATGCAAGTATAGAAACTCTCTGGAATTTGTGTTCGAATGCACTGTGTAAAATTATTCACGTTTTCTAGTATGATGGCATGCAATACAAAGAAAACAGATTTATAGCATGCAAACAAGATCGAATCGCACAAGTAACCTCGAACCGCGGAACACTCGAATGTTCGAGTAACATTTCGAAGGGGTGAAATTCGACTCTCGAATTTCACCGAATCAAATTCTTCCTGAGTCTCGATTCTTCTTGTGCTGCCATGTGGCACCGAAGTGCAAGTCTCTCGAAGTCAATCTGCAACTTCACGAAACCTGTAGTGAAGTCAGGTAGAAGCAACACATTCGGTGGGTTGGGGGCATACAACCACCCCACCACCACTTGCTTGCAACACACTCAATCTCCAACACTCCATGTTGTTCTGCCGGGATTTTTTCACGTTTGTGTGAGAAGATGAGAGCAAACAAAGTTGTGTTAGTGCATCACGCGATAAGATTGATAATAGTTCAGGAAGAAAAAAATGAACAACGAAAAAGATGAAAAACAAACCCCAAGGCGTTGTAGAATCCAAATGCTCTACTAGACAGAGTTTTATGCTGAAAATCAATGGCACTTACAATGCAGCAGGCGCCAGAGCAGTAAATGGTGTCAGAATGTCATCTTATGCTCTAGCCTGTAGTGGGGTGCTCTATAGCGAGTACAACCCTTCTAGGGTTTCCTATTTGTATCCCCATTCTTGCTAGTGCAGCCCTCTTCTCTCTTCTAAGTTTTCACATGGTATCAGAGCAGGTCGATCCCCTTGGATCGATCCTGTGGGTGGGCTCACCACCTCGATGCTTCCGCTGCAACAGCTACTGCTACTCTCTGTGCCGCACGCCCCGTGGCGTGCGGCAGTTTTTTTTTCTTCTTCTTCCCGCTGTGCGCCCCGAGGCGCGCGGCGGTTTTCTGCCCGCCGTGCGCCCCGAGGCGCGCGGCGGTTTTCTGCCCGCCGTGCGCCCCGAGGCGCGCGACGGGTTTCTGCCCCGTCACTCGGCGCGTCGCCCCCGGGAGGCGCTGCGACGGGCGACGGGGACCCGCGCGTCGCACCCCGTCGCCCTACCTACGGCCCCGGCCCCGTCGCCCTACCTGCGCCCCGGCCCCGTCGCCCTGCGTGCGACCCCGGCCCCGTCGCCCCACCTGCGCCCCGGCCCCGTCGCCCTGCGTGCGACCCCGGCCCCGTCGCCCCACCTGCGACCCCGGTCCCGTCGCCATACCTGCGGCCCCGGCCCTAGCCCCGTCGCCCTACCTGCGCCCCGGCCCCGTCGCCCTACCTGCGACCCCGGCCCCGTCGCCCCACCTCCGACCCCGGCCCCGTCGCCCTACCTGCGCCCCGGCCCCACCGCCCTACCTGCGTATTGGCCCCGGCGCCCTACCTACGGCCCGGCCCCGTCGCCCTACCTACGGCACGCGCACCGCCCCCCCCCCCCCCCCCCCCCCCCCCCCCCTTTTCCCGTCGCCCGTCGCGGCTCCTTCGGGGACCGCGACCTGGGGGGTGGCGGGTGTGTGGTCTCCCCTGCTCCTCCTCCTCCTCCTCCGTCTCCCTGTGCTGCAGCTGTCGCTGAGGGGGGGTGGACGTGTTGGAGCCGGTCGAGTGATACTATGGGGGGGTGAAGGGGGAGTGGAGCTAGCGGTGTAGCAGCGGGTGTGTGCCAGGGGGGAGTGGGATAGTTTGGGGAAGCTGAATGGAGGTTGCCGTCGTGTCGCCAGCAGCACCTGTATTCCGGGGAGTTGCTCCGGTAGCCCAGTCGTAGCCAGCTATGCCAGCCGCCCGTGGGTCCGTTGCTCGTCTGCCGCTACTTTAGCCGCGGGGCCGGTTACTCCAGTATTCCGGAGCGTTGTTCCGGTAGCCGCTGTGCCCGTGTGTCTGCAGCTTCATCCGTCGCCTCCTATCTCCTCTCCTCTCACTCTCTCTCCTCCTCCTCACTTGCCCGTTGTGACTACCACTAGCTTTGGTTATAATTGTGAACTTTAACCTATTGCTTCTTGAACTTGTGCTCAGAATGTGTGGTGACATTGTGATCCACCCTGAGCTTGTACAACTTTGCTTGCTCTGTTGATTACACCCCACTTTGGCTATGGGGGTGTGTCAGAATGTCATCTTATGCTCTAGCCTGTACTGGGGTGCTCTATAGCGAGTACAACCCTTCTAGGGTTTCCTATTTGTATCCCCATTCTTGCTAGTGCAGCCCTCTTCTCTCTTCTAAGTTTTCACAAATGGGAGGCCGGCTGCATGTTGTGAGGCTCCTGTACGGACAGATTCCCGCGCCGCTGGGGCATTGGAGCTTCTTCCCCACTAGAGATCGTCGGCTGTTGATAAGCGACGCTAACTCGCCGTCTGGAAGAGCCTGGGTGGTTGTAAGCAGCACCAGGACGATGGAGCAGACAAGCGCGTGGATAAAAGGAAAACGGAAAACGGCTATTGTGCATATAAATATCTCGCTGGGTAATGTCACGTCAGATTCGAAGTAGCTCAAGAGGGCTTCAACAGCTCTGGTCACTGGATTGGTATGAAATTGCACCGACTAATGTTGGTTAAGTTGGAGTTGCACAAATAATCTGTGTTGGAGGTTTGAGAGAGCTACGTTTTATGGAAAGACACTTGCTGAGTTTAGTTGAGTTGAGACAAGTCGAGTCGAGAGATGTCGTCTCATCAGAGGAAGAGGAGGTCAGTCCGTGTGCCATGTGCCTTCGAGGAATGTTTCCACACCGCCGCAATTTCCAAAGCACGGGCCGCGATTCTCATTTCGATCGATGTTGCGACACGATCCGCGGATTTGGTTACCGTTTCGTTCGAAGAAACATTGTGGCAGCGCTGACGTCGACCAGTCATCTGCAGCTGTGGAACCAGCCAAAGGGTGTACAAATGCGAGGCTGGAATTTGATGAAACCAAGCACCACCAAAGACCAATGCGGAGTGTAGGCGAGGGTACAACTTTCCACTGTTTTTCTTTTGGTATTTCCGCTTCTGGCAGCAGAACCCACAGGGTCAACGGCAAAGCTGGTCAACGCCAAACATTGCGAAAGCAGGACGTGGACAGCATGAAACGCCACGTCGACTCACCACGAGAGTGGCCTGCTGCCGACATCCATTCAGTTGGTGTGGATGGGCGGGAGGTGCGGTGGGAGAGGTGGAGAGGGTACAGTACAGTTCAAAATGCGTGGCACATGCCAGCCGCGAACCGCACTCGTTACAGCTGCCGCATTTGGCGCCTCACTAACCTGAATGATTTCAACCACCGCCGCAACCATTTGTATTCTGCTCTTATGGAGCTGTCAAACGCGCCCTCTAAAAAGAATGGCACAATTGTTCCAGACAGAGGAGCAGCAGCTAGTGCACAGGACAAGGGGATTCTTCCTGCATAGCATATGCTGACTTTCCTGTGTATGTCCAACAGCAGGCAGTGCGAAATAACTTTCTACACCACAACAAACATCATAAAGCATCACAAACTAGAGGCCTGTCCCGCTAGTTATGGCTACGCCTAGTCACTGCACTTCAGGGTTCTTTTCCCATATGCAGAAGTCATGACCTGACATGGCTATCTGCCAAGACGAATCTGCACAGGGAGGGAGGGGGGAGGGGAGGTGCATCTTCAGCCTTCTCTTCATGTTTAAATCGGACAAAACCACAACTTTTCAGAGAAGCACCATCTTTCTGTGATGTACAGTACCTGGTGCTATCTCCATTAAACAGCCTCTCCTCATCCCCAGCATCCGAACCAGTAAACAATGAAGACAAACAATAGGCAGCGTAGTATACAGCTTACCACAGTGATCCACAGTGACCCATGCTGAACCACAGTAACTGGTGCAGTCCCAAGCATGCCAAACGACGGCCCGAGCTTCACACCGACTCCTTGGAATGCCTTAGAATGCCTTGAAATGCCTTTCCATCCTCTACATGCGCCGATGCGCCCCACATATAGCACATATAGCCGTGTGTTGCTCACGACGATGCAGGAGGTTTTTTATGTGATGTGGTTGAGATGGCGCTGTGATGCCACATACACACTAACGCTCACAGTGACCCACAAAAACAAAAAACATACACACTCATGTACCTGGTGCAGTCCCGTGCATGTCAAAAGAAGGTCCAAGCTTCACAACGACCCCGCGGAACAGCCTGTCATCATCCACGTTGGTGCCGATGCGCGCCACATAGAGCTGCGTGCTGCACGTCATGATGCGGATGGCGCTCCTCGATGTAATGCCGTTGCGCTGCCGGATCACCAGCAGCTTCTGAATTGGGTCCTGCGATGATGGGATCGTGGATGGGGGACAAAAGATTGTGGAAATGAGAAGATTTTTTTTTTTTTTTTTTTTTTGTGTGTGTGTCTTCTTCTCGTCGTGTCAGTTTGCAAGGCAGAAATGAATTGTGGAAGGGGCACCACGAGTAGTGGATGGTTCTGCTGAGGAAGCTGAAGAAAGCACTGACCTTGAGGTTCCACTCATAGAGATGGTCAATGAACACACACGGCACACCCGGGTGGGTCAGAATGTACACGTAGCTGCACAGCGGAAGGGTGAGGGAGGGGTTTGAGTGCAGGAAGGGTGAGGGAGGGGGTGCAGGAAATGTGGGGGGGTGAGGGAAGGGTGGGAGGTGCGGAACGCAACAAGTGAGCCAAAGCATCCCTGAAAAAACTCGCACTTGCGTGGGAGAACGCGAACCTCCTTTACTGGAAGAGTAGTGAGATGACACGAGAGCACCGATTCAGAAACACGAGGCAGAAGAAGCAGCAAGTACCCCAAACGAATTCGGAAGCAAGAACGTGCGGTTTACCAAACAGCCATATTGTACTCTCGGGGTTCCTGACTACAGTAACCACGACGACCTCCATGGCCACCATACCACAGCCTATCCCACCGTATCCCACCCTATTCCACCCATTGCCAACCACCTTCATCCCGCCCTGCTTCGAGAATGAATCCCCACGCTGGAAACGGCCAACACTGCTGCATGGAGCTTGAGGACTGATTGGCTGGCTTCATGTCCCAGTCAATCCCCCCCATCCCAGCCTCCCTACCTCCCCACCCCCACATCCCAGCTTGGCCAAAGCCCTCTCTTACATCTCACCCGAGAGTGACCTCCCATGAAGGGAAGGGCCAGCGTTGCTGTGAGGAGCCTGTGGAGTGATTGTCTTCATGCCCCAGCCTACCTTCCCTCATCTCAGCCTCACTATACCTATCCCAGCCTTGCCCCCGCCCTTCCCAGGTTCCCTCCCCTCTCACCCCAGAGTGACCCCCCAGGCGGGGAATGGCCAGTGCTGCTGTGTGGAGCCCGTGGAGTGATTGTCCACGAACGTGACTGCCTGGTGTTGGGCCGGGGGGAAAGGAAGCATGCGCGGGGCGGAGAGAACGGGCGGGGTGGGGAGGCATGAGGTGCTGCTGTGTGGAGCCCGTGGAGTGATTGTCCACGAACGTGACTGCCTGGTGTTGGGCCGGGGGGAAAGGAAGCATGCGCGGGGCGGAGAGAACGGGCGGGGTGGGGAGGCATGAGGTGCTGCTGTGTGGAGCCCGTGGAGTGATTGTCCACGAACGTGACTGCCTGGTGTTGGGCCGGGGGGAAAGGAAGCATGCACAGGGGGGAGAGAACGGGCGGGGTGGGAAGGCATGAGGTGCTGCTGTGTGGAGCCCGTGGAGTGATTGTCCACGAACGTGACTGCCTGTCAAAGGGCGGGAGAGGAGGAGGTGGGTGGCAGGAGGGGGGAGGAGGGGGCGGGAAGGGAGAGGAGTGAGAACGGGAGGATGGAGATGCATGGGAGCAAGAAAGCCAGTGGGGTGGTAGTCAATGAAGATGACTGCCTGGTGAAGGGCGCGGGGGGGAGAGAAGGGGAATAGAAGGGGGAAAAGACTTCTAAGTCGACTCACAAGTACTTTTGGCACGCTGCCAACTTCAGGGAGGTTACCGCTCACTGTGTAGTAGCATGCCTACTCTCACGCACCTTGCCTTTGAGACGTCTCAAAACCAATCTTCATACACGTGCATGCTCTCACGCACCTTGCCTTTGAGACGTCTCAAAACCAATCTTCATACACGTGCATGCTCTCACGCACCTTGCCTTTGAGACGTCTCAAAACCAATCTTCATACACGTGCATGCTCTCACGCACCTTGCCTTTGAGACGTCTCAAAACCAATCTTCATACACGTGCATGCTCTCACGCACCTTGCCTTTGAGACGTCTCAAAACCAATCTTCATACACGTGCATGCTCTCACGCACCTTGCCTTTGAGACGTCTCAAAACCAATCTTCATACACGTGCATGCTCTCACGCACCTTGCCTTTGAGACGTCTCAAAACCAATCTTCATACACGTGCATGCTCTCACGCACCTTGCCTTTGAGACGTCTCAAAACCAATCTTCATACACGTGCATGCTCTCACGCACCTTGCCTTTGAGACGTCTCAAAACCAATCTTCATACACGTGCATGCTCTCACGCACCTTGCCTTTGAGACGTCTCAAAACCAATCTTCATACACGTGCATGCTCTCACGCACCTTGCCTTTGAGACGTCTCAAAACCAATCTTCATACACGTGCATGCTCTCACGCACCTTGCCTTTGAGACGTCTCAAAACCAATCTTCATACACGTGCATGCTCTCACGCACCTTGCCTTTGAGACGTCTCAAAACCAATCTTCATACACGTGCATGCTCTCACGCACCTTGCCTTTGAGACGTCTCAAAACCAATCTTCATACACGTGCATGCTCTCACGCACCTTGCCTTTGAGACGTCTCAAAACCAATCTTCATACACGTGCATGCTCTCACGCACCTTGCCTTTGAGACGTCTCAAAACCAATCTTCATACACGTGCATGCTCTCACGCACCTTGCCTTTGAGACGTCTCAAAACCAATCTTCATACACGTGCATGCTCTCACGCACCTTGCCTTTGAGACGTCTCAAAACCAATCTTCATACACGTGCATGCTCTCACGCACCTTGCCTTTGAGACGTCTCAAAACCAATCTTCATACACGTGCATGCTCTCACGCACCTTGCCTTTGAGACGTCTCAAAACCAATCTTCATACACGTGCATGCTCTCACGCACCTTGCCTTTGAGACGTCTCAAAACCAATCTTCATACACGTGCATGCTCTCACGCACCTTGCCTTTGAGACGTCTCAAAACCAATCTTCATACACGTGCATGCTCTCACGCACCTTGCCTTTGAGACGTCTCAAAACCAATCTTCATACACGTGCATGCTCTCACGCACCTTGCCTTTGAGACGTCTCAAAACCAATCTTCATACACGTGCATGCTCTCACGCACCTTGCCTTTGAGACGTCTCAAAACCAATCTTCATACACGTGCATGCTCTCACGCACCTTGCCTTTGAGACGTCTCAAAACCAATCTTCATACACGTGCATGCTCTCACGCACCTTGCCTTTGAGACGTCTCAAAACCAATCTTCATACACGTGCATGCTCTCACGCACCTTGCCTTTGAGACGTCTCAAAACCAATCTTCATACACGTGCATGCTCTCACGCACCTTGCCTTTGAGACGTCTCAAAACAAATCTTCATACACGTGCATGCTCTCACGCACCTTGCCAGGCAGCAAGCCGATGAGACCGGGAGGCCTGCCCTGGGGGTCAATGAGTCGCCAGTACTCGCAGTTCTGCACTGCCGCCTGCAGTATGCCCTGGGGGACAGAGGCATGGAGGGGTGGGGAGGGGTGTAGAGGGGTTGAACCACATTAAAAATAGGTCGAAGGTGGTCCATCAGGGTCTATCAGGCGCCAGTGCTCGCAGTGCTGCACCGCTGTCTGCAGCATGTCCTGGGGGACAGATGGAGGGGGTGGAGAGGGGTGAGGAGGGGTTGAATTGCGGACAATGGGGTACATATGGTTCTATGAGGCGCCATCACTCGCAGTGCTGCACTGCTGCCTGCAGTATGCCATGGGAGACAGAGGCATGGAGGTGGCAAGGGGTGAGGAGGGGTTGAATCACAGTGAGTGGGGGGCAATGTGGGTCCATGGGGGGTCTATGAGGAGTATCTGTCAGGCGCCAGTACTCGCAACACTGCACTGCCGCCTGCAGCATGCCCTGGGAGTCAGGGGCATGCAGGGTGACCTTTGAGTCGACTCAAAAGTCACTGCCGCCTGCAGCATTCCCTGGGAGTCAGGGGCATGCAGGGTGACCTTTGAGTCGACTCAAAAGTCACTGCCGCCTGCAGCATTCCCTGGGAGTCAGGGGCATGCAGGGTGACCTTTGAGTCGACTCAAAAGTCACTGCCGCCTGCAGCATTCCCTGGGAGTCAGGGGCATGCAGGGTGACCTTTGAGTCGACTCAAAAGTCACTGCCGCCTGCAGCATGCCCTGGGAGTCAGGGGCAGCATGCAGGGGTTGGGGAGGGTGAGGAGGGAGGGGTTGAACGACCATCAATGGGGGTCAACCGGGGGTCCACGAGGTGTCAGAAGTAGCTGTGCTGCCTACCTGCTGTGTGCCCTGGATGTGCTCCGAAAGATGATGGACAGTCCTTGGGGTGCATCGAGTCAACGAGGGTCAACGAGGGTGAACGAGGGTCAACACGGGGAGAATGGCAGAGGGGTTTTCGTGACTTGTGCAAATAAACGTCCATGGATTTGTTATCCACACAACGCAATGGAGTGATTATCTGTGTATTTAGTCGATGATAGAGAATGCTACTTGCGCTTCATGTGATGCAATACAGTACAACAGCGTTTGGTTCTACCTTTGTGGTGTAGTCAATCATGTGAGGTGTGCCTCGCGCTGCCTTCACCCAGTCAGCGAGCAGTGCTCGATGCGCGTCTGCAGAGGACAGAGAGGGAGAGTGGCATGTGCAGAAGAGTGGCGCGTACAGGACAAGAAAGCACGGATGATTTTCGAGAATTCTCAAAAGTGATTCCCAAGAAAGCACGGATGTAGAGTGATGAGAAAGATGATCATGTGAGGTGTGCCCCGCGCTGCCTTCACCCAGTCAGCAATCAGTGCTGGATGCGCGTCTGCAGGGGGCAGAGAGGGAGAGTGGCATGTGCAGGAAAACAAAGCACGGATGTAGACTAACAATGCAGCCACTCAGGCTGTTACAGTCAGCTGACTGACACAGCTGTAACCTGACAATGACTATAATCAGCTGAAAAAAAAGGAAAGAACGAAACAAAAAGTCAACCAGCTCACCTTGATCGTATTCGAGAGTGCTGCCCTGGTACCGCATCTCCGTCCACACATCAGCGACTGCAAACGTAGGGCTCGTATCCCAGCAGTACCTGCACCGAGTGCCTATGGCCGGGGGGATTGGTCAAGGCACAGGCATCCTATGAGGCACAGCGACACAGGCAGCCAAGAATGTTCCGGAAAGTTGACCTGGTTGGGAAAATCCTGGGGGTGTAGAGGCTTGGTTCGGCGTGGGACAATGCTGGAGGGTGTGGTTAGGTACGAGAGGAGTGAGTGACTCACGAGTGGGCAACTGCAGGATCGAATGCACGTGCGAGGTCGAAACACCATGCCTGCAAGGGAGAAAAGATGAGCGGAGCAGCGGAAACACAGTAGGGGGGCCATGGCAGGGGCAGCATGGCAGAATGAAATGAGAGTTCTGGGAGAGGTGAGAGGTGAGAGGTGAGAGGTGAGAGGTGAGAGGTGAGAGGCCGAGTCACCATATTGCACACGAGTAGTCTGCATGGAGCGACGTCAAAAGCAACATGAACCTTTCAGTACCAGTACGGCCATACTACGACGAGGATAAACAATTAGGGGATCGACAAACACATCAATGTTATTATTAAGGAAACTAAACGGCAGAGACCGGATTTGCATAATAAGACGCGTGAGGAAAAGAAGTGCGTTTTGGTAGACTCGGTCCTCCCCTCACTCACAATGCCCCCCTGCGCTTACCCCTTTTCGAGTCAACTTTAATTTCCCCTTGTTACAATGTCACACATGTGTTTTCTACAAGAGACGCTATTGCTTCCGGAGGTTACTAACATGAGAAGTTGGTCACAGATGTTGGCGTGCTTGTAAAAAGAGTATACACAACAGTGCTCGTAGCTATCACTCACATTGAATAATGTCACTCACATCAAAGCCAACATCGTATCGCAACCATCGCAGCCACCCCTTACAGTCCTCCTCCACTGCCGGGTTTCCATGGTCCATCACGCTGCTCCTCCGCCCCCCTGCCTGCACGTCAATGCCCTCTTGCTCGCCCTGCCGCCACACTGCAGGCTGGACAGCGGGCATGGACAGGGTTGCAGGTTGAAAGGAAAGGGAGAAGGCACGTGAAAAAAGGAGTGTTTTGAGACGTGTCAAAATGCTCGCCTTGCCTCCACACTGCTGGCTGGACAGCGGGCATGGACAGGGTTGCAGGTTGAAAGGGAAGGGAGAAGGGAGTGCGAGGAGGGAAGCTGGAATGCTGGGAGGGATGTTGCAATGTTGAAATGCCGCCAAACTTCCGACTGGATGCATGGAATGAAGACATGGGTCTGGGAGGGCGGGCAAGACGAGAAGACGCATAGTACCTTGGAATGATGTAACTAGCATGGGGCCCTCTCACCCACCCCGTCCACCGTGTTGGTGAGTCGGTTCCACACCAACAACACAATGACGGATGGTTGCGGAAAGGGAGGGTTTGGGCAAGTGGGCAGGAGGGTCCAGGAAGTGTGCATCGTGCTTTGAAAAACCAAGAGGCGACCCACTCACCTCGTCTACAGTGTTGGTGAGTCGGGTCCACTCCGACAGCCCTGGCTCGCCGGGACCCACTCCCGGCGGCACCCCGCCCGCTCCCCCCATCTGCTGTTGCTGTTGCTGCTGCTCCGATCCGCTCGTATCACCCCATCCGCCCATCCGGTTCACCACCACGTGCAGGCACGCGCCCAGCCCTGCTGCGTGCAGCTGCGTCAGCAGCTTCCGCAGGCTGGCCTCTGTTCCGTACGCGCTATTGAGGTCGTAAAAGTCCACTGGGGAGAAACCTGCATAAGACAGAGAAAGATATACTTTGAGATTGGTTGTTTATATGGAGCTAAGCCTCTAATATGATTGACCAATGTACCTGACATGTCTATTCATGTGACAAGAAGTATCAACCAACATGGATTCACCTAACATGAAGAATCACCTGACCTGAAAATTCACCTGACATGAAGATAAACCCGACATGAAGATTCACCTGGTCCATCAGCAGCCTTGCAGCAGGGCGGGAAAACGAGGTCCGAAAAGCCCATCGCCTTGAAATCACCCACTCGTTCCGCCAACACGTCATACCACCTGCCGTTGATGCCTCCTCCTCCCGATTCATGCGAAGACCACGAGAAGGCGTGCAGCAAGCAGCGCGACGAGGCTTCTGGTAGCGGCCCGTCGTCCTCGTCGGAATCGAAGGAGAAATCCCATAGCAACCCCGGATCGGTTTGCTCGGCTGAGTCGTGTTCCGAGCTCGCGCTTGCCGCTAACGAAGAGTGCTGTAACGCGAATGTCACAACGCACCGTCGTGCGTGAGCGGGGGTAGCTTGCCTGGTCAAAGACTTGCGACGAGCTTTCGTTAAAGTCCAAGAATAGCTGTTTACCCTAGCCCTGACATCCGCTTCGCTACCTTTTGGACCAGAGAGTTGAAAGCCAAGGGACAGCCTGATAAACCCTTTCGGTCTACGGATCGAGGATCCATGAACGCTTCTGACGACCGTGTGCGAGCCGTCCAGCCGTTCCGAAAGAACGTGCGGCGGAAGATGCACGTCCATGCAGACCATGCGAATTCAGACGGAAAGAGACAAAGAAAACTCCAAGCTTAACGTAAGCCGCGCGCGGTGAGGCGAGCGCGCAACGACATCTGCACTTGGCACGGATAACCGAGCGGATAAACGGCTTTCCGGAAAGAAACGCGCGGCGGAAATACTAAAGAGAAAACAGAATAAGGAAACCAGCCTGACGAAAAGTGTTCAGCAGCAAGCTGTGCTGTCGGCAGCTACCAGCCTACCACCAACCACTCCGGCCAGGACTGGGCCAGGCGACAATCATTAGACATTATCAAAACAGATGATAATGAAAACTGAAGAGTGCGTGCGTGCGTGAGATCGCTCTCGCGAAATCGAGAAGAGCCGCCAAGTTTGTTCACCGCACTATAACCCCGCTGATTTCATCGCACTCTACACAGCCGCGTTCAAATCCTCCGCTGCAACGAGCGATCTCAGGGCGATCGATCGAAGCGGGACCACGTGCTGAGCGTGTTCGACAAGATCGCGGGAAAACATCCAACCAATCAGAGAAGCGAAACTGTGTCCAGCGCACGCCGATGAGCTGAGGTGGTCCTGCAACATTGGGATCGAGGACTCATCAGGGGACAATTGGTCAAGCTCAGTCTTGTGACAGTAGGGAGCGTGACTTTTGGATGAGTACACTGTAGACCGAGCAACCCATACTTCAGCATCCCAAGTGGTGTGAAACACGTTTGGTGGAAAATAACCAGATCATATAGCATTACATAGACTGAACCGTACATAAGCTGCTGAGAACACCTACCGTACATTAGAAGCAACTTCAGCATCACAACATAAAAGTTACTAGGGAAGCCTTGCCATTCAAAACGCTTGCCCACAAACACCTTACAGTTACTCTATAGGGGAGTAGTAAGAGTGGACGGCGAATATGAGGAACAGTGCTCCTCCCATCATAGCTACAGTGCGCTGCGAGATACGCAAGGCAAGCAGTCTGCCACCCACCACTGCAATGGTGGTGCAGACCACATGGCCCAGCGTCGCACCCACTGTCACTCCCAAGGCGTTCTTGTGTGCTGCCAGCTGCATGTGCGCAAGGGGGGGAAGAGACAGACAAGGCGCGGGAGTTGGGGAGGAGCATTTTAAACACCAGGAAACTAGTCTGCGGCCCACCACTGCAATAATGGTGCACACAACGTGGCCCAGTGTTGCCCCCACTGTCACTCCCAAGGCATTCTTGTGTGCTGCCAGCTGCACAGTGTGGGACGAAAGGGAGGGATAGACGGGGCAGGGGCGTGGGGGTGGGAGGGGAGTAATTAGGACGTCAGAGAATCTGCCTGCCGGCCACCAACTGCCCACCACTGCAATGGTAGAGCATACCACATGGCCCACTGTCGCCCCCACCGTCACTCCGAAGGCGTCCTTGTGTGCTGCCAGCTGCACAGTGTGGGATGGAAGTAAAGAGGGAGATGAATATGTTCATAACTCCCCCAAACACAACACTCCGTTTGTACTACATTTTCACGCCACATCAAATCCACAAACACCTACTTCGTCTGGATACGACTTATGAGACGCCTAGGTATCCTCTCCCACGCACAGAACTCTGTTGCTGAAAACCCCTCTCGTCCCCGTTCCAACTCAAGATCCTCGGACTGTCCCCCTCCATCGGTTGAACTCAGTGCATAAACCGGAGGTTGGTCCGCAGAAGAAACTCTATCCTCTCCCAACGAGACTTACAGCAATGGTAGCGATTTGGCTGCGATCGCCCCACTCTGCGAGAAAAGTGAGGATGAAGGCCTGGCAGGTGGAGGGGAGGAGGGAAGGAAGACCATGTGTAGAAGTGAGGATGGAATGTGTGCTAGTGATGGGCCAGCAGCAGAAGCGGCAAACAGCACTGACGGGTGAACAGCCATGCACGACGGGCGAAGTGAAGCGGATTGCAAAGATGGGTGGACGGTGAGACACTGTTAAAGCCCTTGGTGGATTAGGAAAGAAACACGAATGGAAGGAGCAAAACGGGAGAAAACAACAGGGGTAAAGGGTTCACTGACCTCAAGGAATACAGGTGTGCAGAAGCCAGCAAAGAACTTGCGAATGCCTCTGTGCCTGCCCTTGTCATTCTCCTCGCTTTCCAGCTTCTCCTCTACCTGCTCCAACCACACAGAGAGGAGGAAGAGGAGGAGGATTTCACAATGCTGAGAAATTTTTCTGAACTCTCAGATGAAACAAACGCTGCCATTCAGCAAGCACAATTCACTGAAACTGTGACATTATTCCAAAAAAGAGACCTTAACATTGAAGTGTCTTGCAAAACCTGAAACATCAACAATCGCACCCACCTCCTCCATTTCCTTGGCAGCAGACTCCTTGGGGTCTGCCCTCCACGCAATGTACAGCAGACGGAGGCCAAAGAAGGTGTACAGCACTGCATGGGGGGAGGGGGGGAGGGGGGGAGAGAGAGGGGAGGGGGGGAGGGGGGAGTGTGGGTGGTGGGGTTGGTGGCAAGTCACAGAGCGAGTGGAGTGAATGGTCTCGTGCACTCCGTGCTTGGGGGTCTGAGCTCTGCCCTCCATGCGATGTCCAGCAGACGCAGGCCAAAGAAGGTGTACAGAACCGGGGGGGCGTGGGAGTGATGGGAGTGCGGAGGATGATGGGGTTGACATGGGTGAAAGGGGACACTGACACGCAGAAAACATGAGGCCAATGGTGCGGCACTGAGGGGCTGAATTGACAAAAAATTGACGTACAAATACAGTCCACGCTTTTTTTTATTTTCCTCGCCCTTCTCACTACTCTTTTCTGATGCAAACTAGACATTTCGCCCAACCTCATTTCCAGAAGAGGCCCAGACTCACCCGTGGCAGCACTGTTGGTGGCCTTTCTGGAAATAAGGTTGGGCACTATGAGACCCAGTCCCGTGAGTCGAGTTTTGAGTCGACTCAAAACTCGACTCACAATTTTAATCGACTCAAAACTCGACTCACTACACCCTGACTCACCCGTGGCAGCACTGTTGGTGGCCTTTCTGGAAATAAGGTTGGGCACGATGAGGCCCAGACCCGTGGATAGCACCTGTATTGTGTATGGCGGGCAGACGAGAGCGACACGGAGCAGGGGGGCGGAAACAGGAAACGGGGTGGTTGGGCATTATGAGGCCCAGACCTGTGGATAAGACCTGTGTATGGCGGATGAACAAGAGAGGCATGGAACAGGGTGAGGTGGCGGGGGAACAGCAGATTGATGGGAAAGATGGGAGCTAAGGGACGTGAACTATTGAATAGGGCCTGCACACAGGGGGTAAAGAAGAATGAACGGGCATTTTGAGGAGAAACGCACAGGAGAAAAGGAAGGGGAAACGCTGCCATGCAGCCATGCAGCTGGCACAAACTGACCATGTGATCACGAGCGACATCTCCACCATACCACACATGGGCACCTCACCATCATGATCCCAAGAGATTCATGATCCCAAGAGATTCATGATCCCAAGAGATTCGACACGTTCCACAGCTCGCTGCCATGTAGCCATGCTCCTCCAAAGTTGAGCATGATATCACTAACTACATGTCCCCGTCCCGATACCAGATACTGACAACTCACCGTCATGATTCCAAGAGTTTTGACATGTTCCGAAACTGAGAGCCATGTGGCCATGACCATGCGATCACTAGACCAAACGACATCTCCAAGATACCACACACTAGCCAGCGACTCACCGTCATGATCCCAAGAGCTGAGAGCGCTCCAGCGAGCACAATGCTGCGCGGATGGCGCATGGCCATGAGGGCAGCGATGATGAACGTCTCGTCTCCGATCTGTAACGCACAGGAGATGATGACGAGAAGGAAGAGCGGGGGAGGTAGAGAATCAAACGACACGACGACATGATAACTGGTACCTACCTGAATGCTGGGGGGAATGGTGGCGGACGGCCATCAGGGCTGCCAGGATAAACATTTTATCAAATCTGTAGTCAATCGGGTGAAGGAGGATCAGAATCTATAGGGTGAACGTGACCACAGAGCATCGCCTTCTTCCTCGTGTCATCCTCCGATCCCTTCTTTTCATTCGCCTTCTTCCTCGTGTCATCCTCCAATCCCTTCTTTTCATTCGTCTTCTTCCTTCCATTCCTCGGCTCACCTCGCTGACGAGGATCGTGGACAGGCTCGCCAGAAAGCCACCCTTCAGCACCGCAGGGGACCACGACGCATCCTGCCATGCCACCTCCCTGGATTCTTCGCTGAATGCGACTCACCTCGCTGACGAGGATCATTGACAGGCTCGTCACGAAAGCGAGCAGCTTGAATGGCGACCACAGCGCATCCTCCCAAGAGATTCCCTGCTCCCTTTGGATCCCCTCCCAGCCACCTAAGGTGTCTCACATCACAAACGCGACTCACCTCGCTGACGAGGATCATTGACAGGCTCGTCACGAATGCGTCCAGAAGCTTCGCTGGCGACCACAGCGCATCCTTCCACCCCCCTGAACCGCTCTCCGCCCCTCCACCCCACCCGTTGTTGTTCCCCTTGGTGCCAGCGGCTGCAGCCTGGGTCGCTTCTCCCGCCGCACCCGCGAGAGTCTCCGCCAGAAGCTGCGCACCGTGAACGCGATAACAGAAAACTCGTTATGATTATTACACTTGAAAAGACAAATGCGGTGATTCATCAGGATTTACATTCACTTCGGCAGGTAATTCCTGAGACTCGCGCGATCAAGTGATGGCAGCTGCACGTGACGCAGCGTACGATCCGTCATGTCAAAACATTCTAGATCACCGACTCTCGGCGGCTATACTTACGGTGGTGCAGGCTTCGCCGGCCATTTCCCCCAATTGCTAACCTCGAATCCTCAAGAATCATTTTCTTTTGAGGCGCCTCAGAAGTGCTACAGGCTAAGTCTGCCATTAACTTTGAATTCATCCGACACCGTGCCCGCACCATCCAAGAGATAGGTGTGTTTATGAGACGTCTCAAAAAATTCCTCCGACACCGTGCCTCCACCATCTAAGAGTTTCAGCCGGGAGCATCAACCGGAACCCTGGACTGACATCGTAAAGATGGACACATTATAGCTTCCCATGGCTTGTTGGACGGAAAGGGAATAGCTACCTTGCCCTCTCGTAAGGTCTTGGTGTCATCTTGCAGCAACTCTCGCATCTGTGTGGAACAGGATGACCGGTAGCAGAAAGGAACTTAAGAAGTATTAAACATCATAGCCTTGCTTTACATATCACTAAAGAAATGCTGCAGCGAAACAAAATAGATCACTGTTTCGGCTAATGTTCATGGATCATGCCGTTAATCTGCATCCCGCCTATAATGATGGTGCGTTGAGAGAAGAAGAAATAAAAAGAAAGGATGATTGACGCCGGCTGGAGCTTACACCGAAAGAGCTTGTGCCGGCTTGGGGTAACGACTCGCCATTAGCTAAGCAGCACAGACCTAATCCTAAAACGGCTAGACTAACCACTAATACCCGTGAAATCTGCATCCTGGCGGTGAAGGGACGCAGATCAGACGGCAATGCACCTCTACTGTAAGGAGTAACGGTATTAAGTAGAACAGACTGACGTCCTATGTAACAAAAACACTACGTAGGTGCCGTGACTGACTGAGCGCAACTTCGCGTGATCGCATACCGTCTCACTGAAGTTGTGACACACTGATGTGTGAAAGGTTTTGTACGTTTCTGCTCGGTTCTGTGACGTTGTGATTTTTTACGAGGCAGATCTGAGAAACTGTCATCGCTTGTCAGTGGTTGGTGGGTGGTGCGGGAGGGAGATGTTGTCGCTTCGTTATTAACAACACCGCAGCAACGTGTCCTCCAGCTGAATGTATAGAAACATTAAGGTACAAACGAAACAGGATAATGAAAGAGTAAAAACTATGTTTGTTCCTCAAGAATCTGAGACATTCTGAACAGTCATAACAACATCCTCTTTAAGCGAAGCAACCATGACACACAGTCCTCATTTTATTGGCAGCAGTCCATGTGCATTCTGAGCAATGCACCAGCCCCTCATCCAAGCACCACAAGTTTGTGACGTAACAACACCTTTCACTCTGCAGCATCAGAGAACCACACGCCAGCACCCTTCATCGCATCGATCTTGAACGGCAGCAGGCGAGCCGCATTGCAATGCACCACCACCACCTCCTCTCTGTGCTCCTGCAACCACACCCTCCCCCCTACACCCCTCTCTACTGCTCCACCAAACGACAGCGACGACGGCAGCTGATCCTTCATAAGTGCTTCAGATCCTAATCCTGGTAACTGAGAGGCTTCTAACGAGGATGAGGCTGAAGGGGAGGAGGAACCTAGAGGGCTGAAAGCAAGCCAGCCAGGAGGGAAGGACTCTTGAGGGAGAATACCCACTTTGAGTGGTTTCCCATCCTTAGCCATTTGAAATAGGGCCTTTTGTAGCAAGGGTACGTCACTGCTAGGCACAGCGTAGGTGTAGTCCACTGTTGCCATTCTCCGAGCCCAATCCTCCACCACAGCTTCAGTGCCCTTGGTTTGGCGGAACATTGCCAGGCACGGGGAGGCTCGGGCGATTTGCGACCAAGGGAGAGGGACGGCAAGAGAGGAATTGGAAGGAGAGGAGGGGGAGGAGATGGAGGGGAGGGGGAGGGGGGAGGCTTCTCCGGGGGAGAAGAGGTGAGAGTCGTCTTGAAAGGTGATGTCGAGCGAAGGCGGGAAGAAGGGGAGGGGGTTCTTGAGCCACACGGTGTCGAGGTCACTGCATTGCGAGGTACGGAATGGAGACAGAGCAACGGAAGAGACTAAATGGGTCCTACTTTTGAGGCGCCTCAGAAGGACTGAAGGGGGTTTTGACCCCCAAACGATAACGCAGAGGGAGTAAAAGGAGAGATGAATGCGTCGCAGTTATAAGGCAAGCGGGGGGAGGAAGACATTTGAGGTGCCTCAAAGGGGGGAGGAAGACATTTAAGGTGCCTCAAAGGGGGGAGGAAGAGCTGAGAGCGGGTACGGGGAAGTGGTGGTGGAGGGAGGCGAGGGAACGGATGGGCCAAGCCTTTTGGAAAGGGAAACAAGGACAGGCTATTCTCTGTGAAGGCAACATGCGGGAACATGTGGCAACATGCGGCAACATGCGGGAACATGCGGCAACATGTGGCAACATGCGGCAACATGCGGCAACATGCGGCAACATGCGGCAACATGTGGCAACATGCGGCAACATGCGGCAACATGTGGCAACATGCGGCAACATGCGGCAACATGCGGCAACATGTGGCAACATGCGGCAACATGTGGCAACATGTGGCAACATGTGGCAACATGCGGCAACATGCGGGAACATGTGGCAACATGTGGCAACATGCGGCAACATGCGGGAACATGCGGCAACATGTTACCTGTACAAGGCGTTCACTCCAGCCTTGAGCAGAGCAGAGATCGCACAAAGTAGGGGCGGCAGGCGGCCAGCAGGAGGAGGAACTCCGGGGACTATTCTTTTGACGGGAGCATTCACCTGTAGAGGGCGTTCACTCCCGCCTTGAGCAGAGCAGAGCTTGCACAAAGTAGGGGTTGACTTTTGAGTCGACTCAAAAGTCTATTCTTTTGACGGGAGCATTTACCTGTACAGGGCGTTCACTCCCGCCTTGAGCAGAGCTCGCACGAAGAAGGGGCGGCGGGCGGCCAGGAGGAGGAACTCCGGAGAGCCGAGGTGGTGGAAAGCGGTGGGGCGCGGTGTAGGATGCTGGGTCAGATTTGCCACTTCAAGCCACATGGCGTGGCCGGGATAGGCGTCCTCCACTGCCACGTACATGGCCTGGTGGGGAAAGGAGCAGCGAACAGAGAGGAAAGAGAGGGGGTGGGGAGGATTTGAGGTTATGTTGCTGGTTTAGTTCTGGGTAGCAACCAAGTGGTGTGGCCGGGATAGGCATCCTCCACTGCCACGTACATGGCCTGGTGGGGTGGGGAAAGAGTAGGAACGGAGGGGGGGTTGGTTTAAGGCAGCACATGCAGGCTGCTGGCGTGACTAGGATAGGCATCCTCCACTGCCACGTGCATGGCCTGGTGGGACGGATGGGATGGGGGGTATAGGAATGGATGAGGGCTGGTTCGCGATAGACCGTGCAGGCTGTTGAGTGGAGTGTGGGACATTCAACCACATGGCATGGCCGCTTTTGAGAATTCTCAAAAGAGACTCAAAAGAGAATTCTCAAAAGAGACTCAAAAGAGAATTCTCAAAAGAGGCTGTGCAGGCTGTTGAGTGGAGTGCGGGACATTCGGCCACATGGCGTGGCCGGGATGGGCATCCTCCACTGCTAGGCATCTTCTAGATTTCCCGGCGGGGAGAAGGAAGGAGGAGACATGATTGGAGAGGAGGGCGCCTGGCTTGAGCTGATGCGGCCTACTGCTTCAGGTCTGGGCACCCCAACCAGCCCCCATCCCCCTACTTCCACCCTCCCCACCATCCCACCTCCCCCTCATCCCACCTCCCCCCATTCCACCTCCCCCCCATCCCACCTCCCCCCCAGTCACACCTTCCCACCCCACCTCTCACCTGGTCGAGGGCGAAGAGCAGGAAGTGGTTAGACAGGCCAATGCGGGTGGGATTTGACTATTGAGTCGACTCAAAAGCCAATTCCCCCCCTCAATCACACCATCCCACCTTCCCCCAGTCACACCTTCCCACCCCACCACTCACCTGGTCGAGGGCAAAGAGCAGGAAATTGCTGGAGAGGCCAATGCGGTTGAGAGCGGTGACCCAGTTGCGGAAGAGAGGCAGGTACACTGGATGGGGGATTGGGCGGGGAGGGGAGGGTGGGGAGTATGGGAGCATGAGATGAGACTCCTAAGGGCCCATGGAATGAGTTGACTTATGAGTTGACTCCAAAGTCATTGGGCGGGGAGGGGAGGGTGGGGAGTATGGGAGCATGAGATGAGACTCCTAAGGGCCCATGGAATGAATCACAGAGCAGGCACATGACAAGACAGGCACATGACATGGCAGGCTGAATACAGTGAGGGGGATTTACAGTGAAGGCGGATGGCCAGCGGGGGGCGGATGGCAGGGGGGGGCGGATGGCCAGGGGGGCGGATGGCAGGGGGGGGCGGATGGCCAGGGGGACGGATGACAGGGGGACGGATGGTCAGGGGGACGGATGGTCAGGGGGACGGATGGTCAGGGGATGGGATAAAAAGGCAGGAAGAATACAGGTGTGGGGACCTGAAGGGCGGGCGAATGACAAGGCAGGCGCGACTCACCATACGATGCTGCAGCAAAGATGATGGTTCCGTCCTTGGCAAACTTCCTGGCAGCTTCCTCCACACGCTTCACCTGGTAGTACAACAAGAGACGGCATTGCATTGCACGGCAGCTGGTTAGACAGGCAACCGTGACAAGTTGACTGTGCATAAATTAATGCCAGTCACATTCGTGCGTAAATGCCAGCGTAAATGCCAATACAATCATGTCACATCCGTCCAAACCACCTCAATTTTTAGGCGCCTCAAAATTTTTGAGCCGCCTAAATAAATGCCAGTCACATTCGTGCGTAAATGCCAATGCAATAATGTCACATCCGTCCAAACCACCTCATCAACCACCCACACCAGCTCTCTCCTGCCCTGCATCCCACCTTCCCCGCATCCCACCTCTCCCGCACCTCACCTGTTCCACAGGCAGCATCGGCACGAACCTCCCCGCGGCCTCTCTGAACCCCTCTGCTACAGCCTGAGCGCGCGTCTGCAGCACGGGTTGTGGCAGGGGCACGTCCCAGTCAGCATCTTCTCCTGCTGCCGCCTGCCCAAAGCCCAGCCCCAGGCCCAGGGAGTGGTCGTCCGGGACACTCACGTCGCTGCTGCTGCCCATCTCCGCCCTTGCCAACCCCCCCTGTGCGCTGCCAGCCTCAGGCTCAGTGCGTTGCTCCCAATGTGATCCCCCAAACTCATTCTCCCTCATCTTGCTGTTGCTGCTGCTGCTGCTAAAGTCGGTGCCTTGTTGCCCTTGCTCTCTGCCAAACTCCGTCTCCCTCCCGACGCCGCCACTGCTGCTGCCAAATTCACTGCCTTGCTGCCCCTGTGCATGGCCATAGGAAGGTTCGCCTTCCCTCTGGCCGTGGGTGGTGTCACCGTGCGCAGCAGCATAGGAGGAAAAACCATCTGGAGTTTTGCTCGCGTGCTCTCCCCTTCCCTCTCCAATTCCTGATTCCCCAGCCTCCCCTTGCTGCCTCTCATCGTCCCCAGCGTCTCTCCCCATTCCTATATCATCAGTATCTCCTCCTCCTCCTCCCATTCCTTCTCCTCCTCTTTCACCCATACCTTCCCCTCCCCCTCCACCCTCACCTCCTCTCTTTCCCCACTCACGCTCCCCTCCCCCATCGTCACGCTCACCACCTGCCTTATAATGAAGCCCAAAACTCTCTCCCTCCCTCTTCTCCCTTCTTTCCTCCTCCCTTTCCTGCTCCCTTCCCTCCCCTCTTCCCACCTCCCTTTCCTCCTCCCTCCCCTCTTCCATTCCTTCCCCTCTTTCCTCCTCACGGCCCTCATCCCGTTCCCCACCTCTTACCCCGTCCCGCTCTCCTCCTTCTTCCTCTTCTCGCACCTCTCCTCCGCTTTTGCCACCTTTATCTTCCCCCTTTTCCTCCTCCCCCTCCTCCCTCTCCTCTCCCTCCTCCTCCTTATCCCTCTCTCCCTTTTCTCCCTCCCTCTTTCCCTTCACAACTAACCTGCTCTCCATGCCCCCACCTTCCGCACGACTCTTCCATTCCCGCTTCTCCTCTCCCTCCTCATCAACTCCCTTCTCTTCCTCCGCCTTCCCTCCCTTCTTTTCTCCACGACCCTCCTCCTCCTCGGATCCTCTCTTCTTCCTCTCACCACTCTCCTCGTCCTCTTCCTCCTCCTCTTCTGTCTCTTCATCCTCACTCTCACTCTCATCCTCACCTGCACTTCCTGCTTCGCCTTTCCCGCCCTTCCGCTCCCCCATCGTGCCTTCCTCACCTCCACCCGTTCCTCTCCTCACCTTCCCCTCCCTTGCACCATCACCACCGCCAGAAGAAGCAGCATCACTCGCCTCCCTCTCTCCCTCCACCTGCTCTGCCCGCGACTGCTGCTGCCCTGCCTTTGTATACCCACCCCTCACTGCCTTTGTATACCCACCCCTCATTGACACCTTCCCTTCTAATTCCTCTTCTTCCTTTCCTTCTGACTCGTCCTCCCTCTCCTCAGACTCCTCTTCCTCCTCCCCAGCTCCTCCTCTTCCTCCTGACGCTCCCTTTTTCACCTTTCCCTTACCAGCCTTTCCCCCCACACTTTTCTTCTCCTCCTCCTCCTCTCCCTCTTCCTCCCCTTCCTCCTCTTCCTCCTCACCTTCCTCTTCCTCCTCTTCCTCACCCTTCTCCTTTCCCTTCTGCACTCCAACCCCCTTTCCTCTCACAGGAATCCCACCTGTCGCTGCCCTTTCTTCCTCCCCTCTCTCACCAACAGCACCATCCCTGAACCCTCGCCCAACCCCTTCCATCCTGGTGCCTTCATCCCCCACCTCCCCCCTCCCACTCTTCTTCCCCCACTCTCCACTCCCCCCTCCACCCTCCCCTTCACCTCTCACTCCCTCCTCCCTCGTCCCAGCTCTCTCCTCATGCTTCCCATCTGCCTTCCCTTCTTCTTCCTCTTCCCCCTCTTCTCCCTCTTCCTCCTCACCCTCCTCCTCATCGTCTGCCTTACTGCTACCGCTCTTAGCTGCTGCCTCCGTGTCCTTACCTGCACTTGCACTAGCACTTGATCGTGGATCTCCCATTCGAGTCCGTTTTAAGCCTTCAATTGCCCCAGGCTTCGCCAAACCATCATCAGAACCAGCAGCTGAAGCCACACCTGAAGCACCATCAGCCTTTGCCTTATCCTTCAGTTTTCCTGCACTCTCCTCGTCCTCTTCCGCATCCTCTCCATCCTCCTCCTCTTCCTCATCCTCGCCCTCCCCTTTCACATTTCCCTCGCCTTCCATCCCTCCCTTCTCCAGCCTATCTCTTCCACTGCCACCATCTCCCCCCACACCCCTTGAATCACCTCCTCCTACAGTCACACCACGGCTCACGCCACCAGCCTTCACTAACGGAACTGCAGAGGATTTTGTAAACGGCGACCCATGCTCTGATTCTGATTCACCTTCTGATGCTTCTCCCTTTCCACCCAGCACTTTCTTTGTGCTTGGATTCTCCTCATCCTCCTCCTTCTCATCCTCCTCTTCCTCCTCCTCTTCCTCTTCTTCCTCCTCCTTCTCCTCTGCGCCTCGCGTTCCCTTTGATACAGCTTCTTCTGCCGTCACTCCCGCCTTAGTCACGCGTGACTTCGTCACGCCTCCTGACTTAAACCGTCCGGACTCACTCAGTCCCGACCCTCTCGGCTCTGACTCAACCACGCCTCCACTCAAAGCCCCACCCGACAGCTTACCTTCAGATGCTGCCCCTGCCACACCTCTCCCCTGGACTCCTCCTTTTTCCCTTTCTTCCTCTTCCTCCGCCTCCTCCTCCTCCTCCTCTTCATCCTCAGTCCCCTCCTCTTCTTCATCCACCGCCCTCCCTGCCTTCTTACCACCAGAACCATCAGAAGCTAACCCAGAAGCAGCACGGGAGCCAGCACCCAAATCAGCACTGCTGGCACCACTAGCAACACCACCACCAGTGCCAGTATAGCCACCACCAGTCGCAGCATTAGCAGTAAGGGAAGAGCCAGTCTCCGGAGGCCCCTTCCCCACCACACTCGTCCCTTCCACCTCCTCGGGATCCCCACCACCACCACTACCACCACCTCCTCTGCCACTACTCCCGAAATCAGTGCTGCTGGTTGCTCCCTTATAAGCTGATTCGCTACTGCCAGATGGAACAGCGCCACCGGGAAAAGCCCCACCGGCAGTAAACCCACTTCTTCCAGCATCAACGGCAGTGCCTCTTCCTCCTCCTTTCCTCTCACCTTCTTCTTTTTCTTCCTTCTCGTCCTCTTCCTCTTCCTCTCCCTCATCTTCCTCTCCTTCGCCCTCATCCTCTTTCTCCTTCCCAATCGCTCCTGCACCAGATAACTCTGCGCCCTTGCTGAGCTGGGGCGTCTCAAAACGAGTAGCACTTGCACCAGATAGATCTGTACCCTTTGTGCTGCCAAAACCAGTACCACCAGCAGCACCACCAGCAACACCTACACCAACACCAACGGCATCTCTTGCCTGGCTCTTCACTCCTTTGACCATGCCCTCACCTGAACCTTCCTTCTCTTCCTCCCCTTCTTCCTCCTCCTCTTCCTCCTCCTCCTCTTCGCCCTTCTCACCTTTCCTCTCTCCTTCGCTTTTTGCACTTGCAGCATCTCCCTCCTGCACCCCTTCAGTCGCCCCTGTCCCTGCCCTTGTCCCTGTTCCTCTCCCTGTCCCTGTCCCTGTCCCTGTCCCTGTCCCTGTCCCTGTCCCTGTCCCTGTCCCTGTCCCTGTCCCTGTCCCTGTCCCTGTCCCTGTCCCTGTCCATCTCCCTGCTGCTGTCCCTGCCCCTCCTCCCGCCCTCTCTGCACTCACTGCATTTGCTCCTGCCCATGCACCGGCTTTGCTCCCTACCTCTCCTTTCTCCTCCTCTTCCTTCTCCTCCTCTTCCTCCTCCTCTTCCTCTTCCGCTTTCTCCTTCACCGCACTGCCACTGCCAGCATCAGTCTTCAACGGGTACAGTGAGCTCTCAGCACCTCCAGCTGTAGCTGTACCAGCTGTAGCGGCTGTAGAAGGCACTGTAGCGCCAGTAGCTCCAGCGCCTGTAGCTGTGCGCGACGCAGTTCCTTGCTTGGCTTGGGACGTCTTCTCCTCTGCCTCCTCTTCCTCCTCCTCCTCTTCTTCTTCTTCCTCTTCCTCTTTTTCCTTCTCCTTCTTGACCGCACTGCTGCCAGAAGTTTGCAGTGGAAAACCAAACTTGCCAGTGCCAGTGCCAGCAGCTGTAGCCGCCACAGAAGCAGCCCCAGCTGCGTCAGTTCCCACTGTGGTACGAGGCATGAATGCTTTCTTGGCTACTGATGTTTTCTCCTCTCCCTCTGCCTCCTCTTCCTCCTCCTCCTCCTCCTCTTCTTCTTCTTCCTCTTTCGTATCCTTGATCGCACTGCCAGCAGCAGTTCGCATCGGCGAAATAGAGCTGCCAGTGCCCGCAGCTGTAGCCGCTACCGCAGCAGCCCGACCTGTGTCAGTTCCAGTTGTGGTAATGGCTGTGGCTCCTTCCTTTGCTTGTGACGTCTTCGCCCCTGCTTCCTCCTCTTCCTCTTCTTCCTCCTCAGCCTCCTCCTCTTCCTCTTCTGCACTTTTCTTCACCGCACTGCCAGCAGCAGTGTGCAGCGGAGAGAAAGAGCTGCCAGTGCTGCCAGTGCCACCAGCTGTAGCCGCTACCGCAGCAGCCCCAGCTTCGTCAGTTCCTCTCGTGGTGATGGTCGTGGCTCCTTGCTTGCCTTGAGACGTCTTCGTCCCTGTTTCCTCCACTTCCTCCTCCTCCTCCTCCTCGTCTTCCTCCTCTTCCTCTTTCCCCTTCTTCACCACACTACCAGCAGCAGTTTGCAGCGAAGAGAAAGAGCTGCCAGTGCCAGCAGCTGTAGCCGCCACAGCAGCAGCCCCAGCTGCGTCAGTTCCTCTTGCGGTAAAGGCCGTGCCTCCCTGCTTGCCTTGAGGCGTCTTCCCCGCTGCCATCTCCTCCTCCTTACCTTCCCCTTCCTCTTCCTCTTCCTCTTCCTCCTCCTCTTCCTCCTCTTCCTTCGCCTCCTGCCCTGCTAACTTCACCTTCTCCCGTCCCTTCGTCCCCTCAACCACCGGCCTTCCCACTCCCACTCCCACTCCCACTGCTCTCTCTGTGTTCAAATCCGGCGAATTCGTCAACACAGGACCACCACCACCCCTCGTTAGTGTCACCCCGCCCACTGTAACGTCACCTCTCCTCACAGCATCAGAGTTGACTGCTTGACCGTCATTGAAATTCCTATTGCCTGTCCTTCCCAACAACCCCTCCCCACTAGGTTTCACTCCTCCCCCACCCTCCTTCGCTTCTTCTCCCTCCTCATCCTCCTCTTCCTCTTCCTCTTCCTCCTCCTCCTTCGCTTCCTTTTCTTCCTGTTTCTCTGCCTTGCCTTTTCGTACACCATACCCCTCCCTATTATCACCTTCAACATTATCACCTCCAGCTTTCACTCCGCCACCACCTTCCCGGATACTCCCAAGGCCGCTCCCTCCCGTGGCTGCACTCCCAACCCCCTCCTTTCCTTCCTCCTCCCCTTCCTCCTCTTCCTCTTCTTCCTCCTCCTCCTCCGCCTCTCCCTCTGCCTTCTCACCCTTTCCCGCAGCATTACCCCTCCCCATCCTCACTCCCTCCCTCACTCCCATTCTCTCCCCTTCACCTGTCCCAGTTCCTGTTACACCCGTCCCCCTCCAACCCTTCCCTTCTCCACTATCTCGCTTCAGTCCAAACCACCGTGAGACAGTTCCCTTTCGCGCCTCTCCCTCAGCCATGATTCGCCGATCCCCTCCCACTGCCGCGGAGCCAGTTACACGCTGCCACGTGTCCACGGCAGCGGCCTCGGTTGCATCCGCTCCTTTCCTCGTCGCTGCCGTGATTCGGCGGCCCGGAAGCTCCTCGTTCGCGTTATAATCGGCTGCAATATCACTCGTTGCCTCTGAACCGTGCTCTGCTCTTGCTGCTGCGGCGGACTGGCCGGATTTCGCGGCGCGAGTTGGGCCGGACGTCACGGGGGGAGTTTCGGCGTAAGTTTCGGCGCCAGTCTCGGCGGCGAGCTTCCTGTGCGCCACGGAAAAGCGCGGACGCAAATATTCCCGAGTCGCATCCGCTGCTGAGAAGTCTCCAGAGAAAGAGGCTGGTGCATTTGTCCCCGCTACAAGAGGACGTGACACTGCGAGGGTTACAGCCACGAGAATGAGGACTTGAAGAGGAAAAGCAACGCGAATGCGAGAGGCGGTCATTTCTGTCATGAAGCGGATCGTAGGTATCAGGACAAGCTGATCGTATCTAGCAGGCAAAAGACGCACGGTGCCAACGCCTATATGCGATATTAAAAACACAGTACTTTATAGCATATGTAGCTGCACTGTATCCAGAGCAGCCTATCAGGCACCTACTCCAGGTGTTAAAGGAAATGGGACGCTGTCAGGAATGTGGTAAAGCGCACTGCGAGTTTGGCAACGACGAAGCAACACGGTTACCAGGCATCGACGTTACCCATCCTCCATCACTTCTGACCTAACTCGGAAGTTCTACGTTAGAACGCTAGGCTAAGAAACTGTACATGGCTTGACTTGTCAAACCACCAGCCATGGAGGTAGTCTGAAATGAAGGGGAGGAAAGGGAGTGGAGGTAGAAGAGCAGGAAGAAGCAGATGCTGTCAGGATGAATGCGGTTGAGGTCGTATTTCGTCACAGAATTTTTGAATCGAAGGCAGTTGTGACGTGGCTGGACTTTGGTGAGGAAACACAAAAAGGTCGAAACGTTTCATCTCTAACCCCGAATTATTGTCTTTCAGAACAGAATGCAGGGTCCACTTTTCAGGAATGGCACACGAAGTCAGCGTCTTGAACGTGACGTCAACAAGTAGTTCAGAAAGGCAACAGATAAACGCGATGTACGGTAGGCTAGCTCATTTGACGTAAGGTTGAATCCTCCAGTACAAAAGGATGGGTTCTAATTCTAGTGCCAAATGCTAAACAGGTTAGCATCAGCCAGACAAATACCATAATGATAGTTAATTTCATCAAAGATTGATCTCCACAACGCAATAATGAGTTCGAACCACTAGCACCGTGGATCCTTCTGAGTTCTAGGTATTCATGAGACAACTGATCCATTCCTCATCAGTACAGAGGAAAATCTGAAGTTGCAAAAAGAGGGAGGTAGGCAAAGGGGGGGGGGAGAAAAAGAGAATGGGAAGAAGGAAGAAAACCAGGAGTCATACGCAGAAGAAGGTTGAAACAAGATGCTGGATGGATCACATCACATCACACATACCAATCAATTCTTGAGCAAGCTTCTTGTGCACCTTGAAAGATCGTACCCCTCCTGCTTAACCACCAAATACTGGTTCAAGAACCACGCCAGGGAGACACATGATGCATTCACCTGCCATTCTCAACCATAACCACACGCACTTCAAATGTTCAGCCCCCTTCCACCCTGTGCCCCGCTACCCTGCCCCCATCCACCCTAGCCCCATCCACCCTGCTCGGCCTCCCCAAACAGCAGCTGGAGCTGCGCAAAAGGCGACGGCACCCTAGACGCTTCAGTGGTGTGTGAGAGAGAGTGTGATGGGAGAGCAGGGGAGTGTGGTGAGTGTGAGAGGGGGAGTGGGACGATGCGAGTGAGCCTGGTCTCGTGGCCTGTGCCCCGCACGGCGTCCCTCATCTGCACGCAGCATGCCATGCCACACAGCAGCTCCGACAACACACATGCTGGGAGTAGGACGAGGTAGCGGAGAGGAGAGAGCGGGGAGAGGAGATACGGGTGAGATGTAAGGGAGATGGAAGAGCGGAGAGATGCAAAGATGGGATTAAAGAGAACGAAAAAAAAAAAAAAAAAAAGTATTGTAAGAAAGTGCAGTATGAGTTGCGCATTAACGTACCTTGAAGTGCTAGCAAGCATGCCCACTGAAATCTATTTCCCACGCACCTACAAAAGCGCTAAGAAGCAAGAAGCGCAACGGACCTGCATGGGGGTATTTGCGAGTAAAGGCAGTCCACTGGGATCCGGTGCAGCCTATGAGGGGCTGAGCTGCCTTGTCAAACGCCACACCGGACACTGGGTGGGACTCCCCTGGTAGAACCAGCAGCAGCTGCTGTGTGGAGGGAAGAGGGGGAAGGGGGGAAAGAGGAGAGGGGCTGAGCCGCCTTTCAAACGCCACACCAGATACTGGGTGGGAATCCCCAGCGATCACCAGCAACAGCTGCCGTGACGTGTGTTGGGAGTATTGCAATGTGAACATTCGCGGAAGAGGGAGGGACGGTAGGGAATGGGGGGTAGATGAGAGGGGAAGGGAGAGGGGCGACTGACAAATGGAAGATGGAATCGGCCTGGTCTGGTCGAATAAAAGTGAGGAGAGGAAAGTCTGTTATAATGCTTCATCCATTGTCATGCCTTCCAGTATAGCATAATCCAATTTCACAAAATCATAGCGTCTAGTCACCTTGAGCTTGAACAGGTGTGTCTGCCGCTTGATGGTCTCTAGCGGCTTCGCGGAGCGGTCTGACAGCTGGCACTCGCTGCACGGCCACGGACGCCACGTGGCGACCTGCTGGCCCTGCACCGTGTACTCCGACAGCGAGCGCGTGCAGCGCGCACACGCAGGGTAGCTGACGTGGCGTCGGGGGTCGCAAATGGGAGGAGGGGGAAATGGGAGATCGTGGCAAAGGGAGGGGGAGGGGGGGTTGAGTGGGAAGGGGACCTTACAGAGTCAACGATTATAATATGAGGGATCCAAGAGGCATTGATTAGAAGGCGTTAGAGAAACACGACAGGAAAAATGCAGCAGAAGACGAAGAAACAATGAATCGTATTTGTTTGAGCGAGAAAGGATTGGCTTATAAGTCCACTGGCAAACGGCGCACCATATGTTCGACGTGTCGGCCGCGACGATTGTGCACCGCGGCACGTCGCGCATTCCTGCAGGCTCCAGCTGAATTGTCAATGCTTCCAGCAACGATCATCCACACGCACAGAAACGCTGCCACGGACGCGTCTTAGAAACAACGTCGATGATCGCGGCGGGTCCTCGCCTCGCTTCGGTAGAATCAGCAGCTCCACGCCACGAGGCTCTTCTGCCGCGTCGCAATTCCTCCGCGACGTACTTCAAACGGCTAGTATCGTTGATGGATGATCACAGTAGCCCGACATCGTATGGTTGTGCTTCATAAACTGCTGCAGGATTAGTGGTGCTGCTTAGGAAGTGCTTCAGTTGTGTCCTTTGGTAGAATATACCTCCTTTTACTCAAACCATCTCACCCTCACTACAATACAACCATCCAAGTAAGCTGTATGTCTTTGCCCACGCAATTAACGAGAGAGTTGTCTAAGAGAATCTCTTGCGGTGACTAAAAACCGCTGAGCTGATCTCAATGCTGATTTATTATTTATGTACATGCGTTTTCTCTAAACTAGTCCTTACCTATGTCCGGTCTGGCTGAACAACGCCTAAAAAGGCCAACATTTGTAGACCGTTCACCTTAAGGCATCAAGCATAATCCACTGCATGGCACGAGCTTCAGTTATCACCTTCACATAGTGCATTCCCCCAAACCTCCCCTTCAGCTCCGCGGGAAGAATCTCATCAGCAGTAATCAAAACAGGCGACCTCACCACCACAACCCCTCTTTCTCCAATTACTCCTTCCTTATCATCCTCCGCATCTCTTTCCTTCAAGCCCTCCTTAGGTAACCACTCCACATCAGATTTGATCCACTCATCGATCGGCACGATCTTATCCTCCCCAAATACCACCTTCTTCCCCTCTCTCTCATACCTCTCTCTAGCAAACGGGTGGACCATCTCCAGAGCCCGCTGGATTGCCGCCTCGTTGATCGCCGCTGCCACGTGGCGCACTTCCATTGGCGCCACTGCCGCCCATGCCGACAACGCAGCTCCAAGAGAGGGCGTTCCCTCACCTGCTGCTCCAGCTGTTGCTCCTGGAGCCACCGCCATCATTCCTGTGTCTTCCCCTGCTCCCGCAAGCTGCAAGCCAAGAGCCTCCTTAATAGCAGCGGCGCTCTTGCACTTGACCCACAGGGTGTGCGGCTGGCACGGCCAGAACTTACCCTGCGACTGCAGCCATGCAGACTGCAGCACAGTGGGAGCAGAGGAGTCTGCTTGGGAGGAGCCCCCAGTGGACGTGAGGAGGTCGGGCTTGGAGCGCAGAAAGTCGGGCATGAAGGCATGGAAGATGGTGTGTGAGGGGAGCGAGGTGGATAGGCCTGCGTGGGAGAGAATGATGTCCTGTTGGAGGGGGTGGGAGAGGGGGGGGATGGGGATGGATTGAGCGTGGTAAGAAGGCATGGAAGCTATAGTGTGAGGGGAGAGAGGGGGAGAGGCCCACGTGGGAGAGGATGGAGTCCTGTTGGAATGGGTGGGAGAGGAAGGCAACGTGGATGACATGAGTGAGAAGGCGCAGGAGATGGTGTGCCTAGAAAATGTCAAGAGAATGATGGCGAAAAAACTTTTGGGAAATGTCGGGAATTGGTCTAGAAAAGAAGAACAAGGAGGGAAAGTGGGGGATGGGCTGAGGTGAACCTGCGCAAGCAAGCATAACTAACTTTACTAACAGAAAGAAGTCGTAAAGGGAGAGGCAGGGTGGACTGACCAGCACGTGCTGAGGCTCGCCCCTCTCCATCTCCAGGGCCTTCCACACTGGTCGATCGCAGGTGGTCAGAGGTGATTCTTGAGTCCAGTCAATAAATATTCACAGAAAGGAGTGAGGCAAGGAGGGGACTGACCAGCACGTGCTGAGGCTCCTCCCGTTCCATCTCCAGGGCCTTCCACACTGGTCGCAGGTACTCCAACGACCATTCCACCGCCCCCTGCAGCACCTTCACGGCACTCTCCTGTGCCTCATCCACGCACTCCTCCTCCCCTCCGTCCCCTCCCACTCCTCCCCTTGCCCCTTCCGCCCCTGCCATTCTTTTACGCAACCCCTCCTGTCCCGCCAGAAGCAACGGCGCCCAGCCACTGTCCGAGTGCAGGTGAAGAAGCATAAAAGCCGAAACCAGCCGTCCAATCTCCTCCCGCACCTCCTCTATTGGTCGAGACGCCTCCAGGTCCCCCCTCTGTTTGTTCACCACCCCGTTCCCCCCCTGTGCGTGATTCATCCCCTTTATAATCACAACTGGCTTCTGGACAATGGACAGCAGTGGCCCCAGCGCTGCTGCTGTCGCACTGCCAGGTGCAGCAGCAGCAACAGAAGAACCACCTGAAGAATTACCTGAAAATTCACCTGAGGAAACACCTGAGGATCCAGGGTCAAGCTCCTTGACTGCTAGCGCCATGGCGATGGGGGGAGCCTGGCCGTCCCTGTCTCCGAGGATGTTGAGCGTTGGCCTTGGGAATTGCAGGAAGGAGGTCTCTAGGTTGTTGTGTGAGGAGCCGATGCTGATGAGCGCCAGGCATTTCTCCCGCACCACTGCTGTCATGAGGAAGGCTCCGATGCTGGTAGGGGTCGTGGGTGTGGGGAGGGGGAAGGAGGGAGGGAATTGCAGGAAGGAGGTCTCTAGGCTGTTGTGTGAGGAGCCGATGCTGATGAGAGCGAGGCACCACTGCTGTCATGAGGAAGGCTCTGATGCTGGTAGGGGGTGAGAGGGTGGGGAAGGGAAGGAGGAGAAGGACGGAGGGTGGCATGTCTTAATCAATGTGGTAGGGCACATATGCTGATAAGAGCGAGGCGGGATTCTCACACCACTGCAGTCATAAGGAATGCTCCGATGCTGGGTATGGGGTGAGAGGGTGGGGGTGAGGGGGTAGGAAAGGAGGGAGGGTGGTTTCTTGTGCACTGTGTATACAAGGCTCATATCATATGCTGATGAGAAGGCAATTCAGAATTCAACTCTACAGTCAACTTAAAGGTGTCAACTAGTTACCGCATTAGTCAACTAAGGACTCATCAGAAGTCATCCCATCTCCTTACCCGCTTTGACTGCTGCACTTCATACCTTGCCCCACTCGCATCTTTCCCCAGACCCAACACACCTGTGTCCCAGCACAAACACCCGCGACGTGCCGCCCGCATTAGTCACATCCGCGCCCATCTCCTTGACCGCTTTCACCGCCGCCTCATACCCGTCCCGAGCCCACATCCTCCCTTTCTCCTGGTCCAGAAGTGTGACCTCGTTCAGTACAGCCACCCACAGGCGCTTGCGCACAGACGGGGGAGTGGTGGATCTTATAGCGCGGATGAGAGGGAGGTAGGAGAGCGCGGGGATGAAACCGCCTGGGGCGACGAGGAGGAGGTAGGGAGGGGAGGAGGGAGAGGTGGAGGTGGTATCTGGGGTGGGTTGGTCCTCACGGGAAGGGGGAAGGATGTACGCGAGCTGGGGGAGTGCGAAGAGGGGGACGGAAGAGAACAGGGGGATGGAGAGGGGAATAGGGAAACATTGAGTGTAAGGTGAGCCTGAAAGGGGAAGGAGATAAGATCAATTTCAACCATATGCACTTTGCAGTTTGCACGGAGATATGAGGTGAATTATACTTGATAGTAAGTTACCTTATTGCATTCACGGTGACAGCAAAGGTGAACCTGACAAAAAAAACCCTTGTAAGTCTGCAACGCTTTTACATATAATGCAAGAGCATGATATCCTGGGGTTGGATTCGTGCCTGTGGAGCCAAACGCGGATCAGGAGCCATGATAACGTCATCATCGTGATTTGAGACGTCCCTATCGCTCCCGTGGTCCGTCATCGTTCCTTTTGTTCCGGCGACAGGAGCACCTGCAGCATCACCAGCAGCTGCAGCAGCGCAAGTGACGGATAATCTCAGCGATACAGACACGTGGCGCAAGGGTGCTGGGGAGCCGTTCAAGAGCGGCTGGTGACGCACAGAAACAGCGCTGAGTGTCAGAGGATGATGACGAGACACTAGTAAGCGTCCTGGAGAGTTGCAGCTCGAGACGCAGCGAAGACTGGAGGGCGTGGGAGCGGAAAGAGAGATTCCGGAGACTACAGAAGAGTGAGTGGGGAAGTAACTCGAGGGAAACGAAACTTGAACGAGAGGACGAGAGAATGCGAGAAGGGAAGTGCTAGAAGCAGCCATGAGCAGCAGCGGAGTTGCGGAAAACGAGGAGGAGGAGATGCAAGGCCAAATATAGGAGTAGTGCTGACTGTTAATGAACAATCCATCACGCCTGATTGCAATCAAGGCAGCCGAGCAATCGCGCAGAGAAAAGCGGAGGCGGACGAATCAAGAATCACGGATAGTCCCAGAATTCCTGTCTGAGGCCGCATTCTGGGCTCGTAACAGCCTGTTACGAACAAATCTGGCCGTCGCACGCCGACGTCCGCATTTCCCCATAACCTGTCCGGACGTGGGAATCGTTAGGGGTCGTGAAGTGCCCATGAGAGTCGCTCGAGCTGTCACTACTAGGTGGGCTATTCGCACACGTCAGCGAAGAAGCCCAGAATTGAATCACGGCGTTTCAATGGGAATAGCCCACTTTTCAAAACGAACTTCCTCGACGGAACGTGTCAGCTAGAACCACGTCCGACGTCATTTTCCTGACCTCCCAGCTAACCCTCCGCTGTCCGCGTCGTACGACACGAATTCGTTGTTCCCCAGGGATCGAAGCAGAGGGTCGAATGGCGTGATACGCGAATGCCAGCATTCTTCGGCAATTTTCAAGGCGGTTCTCGTCTCGTCTCGGGCATGATTGTCCCCAAAATCCACGGAGCTGTGACATGTACGCACTATAGAGGTCGAATTTCTGGTGTTTCTAAAAAAACGTGTAAGCACAAGGTAACAACTGCCTAAAATTGCAAGGTCAGTAAACATAAAAATAGCTAAAACATGAAAAAAGCCAAATACACACCCACATACCATCTACAGCAAGAAGCTAGATCATCCTGCTCCGCTCCAACAGGTACTGCGGTCTTCACTTCACAACTTCCCAGAAAGCAAACCCCTGTTCCTGCATCACGCTCACAGCAGCTGGCTGTGCGTGCACCTACCCTATCCTCCTTTACCCCCAGCAAGAACTGCGCCCTTGAGACTCGTCAAAAGTACCCTCTAGCATTCGTCACGCTCACAGCAGCTGGCTGTGCACCTGCCCTAACCTCCTCCGCCCCAGCAGGTACTGCACCCACGGCTGCACTCAAATCACAATTCCTTTTTCTCTGGCTGTCAGTCAACCTCACTCCCAGTCACGAACCAAAAGCCCATTGCAACATCACGCTCACAGCAGTTGGCTGTGCACCTGCCCTATCCGCCCGCTCCGCCCCAGCAGGTACTGGGCCCACGGCTGCGCGCGAATCACCGACGACAGGTCGCTCTCCCTCTCGCTGTCTGTCGTCTTCACCCCCTCCGTCTTATCCACCCACGGCACCACCAGGTTGTGGCTCTTGGGGAAATCCATGTCCTTGGGGATCACCTCGTATGCCACCTGGGTGGACATTGGAATAAGGTGGAATCAGGGTGTGTTAACTGAGGAAGGTCTGCCCCATTGAGCATGATAGCCACACCCCCTTGGTCTTATCCACCCATGGCACCACCAGGTTGTGACTCTAAGGAAAATCCATGTCCTTTGGGATCACCTCGTATGCCACCTGTGCGGAGAGGGGAATGAGCATGGGCTTTTTGAAGAGATGAAAGGTTGAAGAAAGGCCTGCCATGTGGAACAGAGTAGTAGCACCACAGCATCACACCACACCCCCTCCGTCTTATCCACCCACGGCACCACCAGGTTGTGGCTCTTGGGGAAATCCATGTCCTTGGGGATCACTTCGTATGCCATCTGTTGGAAAAAGGGCATGGAGGCAGCATTGAGAATCAGAAAGGCCTGCCTCATTGTGCATGGTAACCGCACCCTCCTGGTCTTATCCACCCAAGGCCACGGCACCACCAGGTTGCGGCTCTTGGGGAAATCCATGACCTTGGGGATCTCCTCATACGCCACCTGTGAACACAAAGGAATAAGGTGAGATCAGGGTGTGTTCTTTGAGGAAGGTCCGACACCCTTGTTGAGAGTGGCAATTGCACCACTCCGCCTTATCCACCCACAGCAGCACGACCAGCCCAGCTTGTGGCTCTTGTTGAAATGCATATCCTTGGGAGTTACCTCGTATGCCACCTTTGTGGAGGTATGGGAATAAAGAGCAGCATTTTGAAGGAGAAAAAAGATGAATGGTTGAAGAAAGGCCTGCCATGTTGACTGAGAGCATGAAATAGCTTGTGTGGCTTGGTTACTTTAGAGTCGACACAAAAGTCACAAGGGGAAGAGGGATGGACGGTTGAAGAAAGGCCTGCCCTGTTGACTGAGAGCACGGAATGCCTTGTGTGGCTTGGAAACATTGAAGAGGCCCCCACAGCCCCTCGCCCATCAACCTTCAACCCTTAACCTTAGCCCGGAGCTTGCCTTGTCTGGTTTGAGTCGCAGCGAGTCCAGCGTGGCTTCTGTGAAGAGCCCCCCGCACCCCTCATAGAGCACCACCACCAGTCGCGACTTGGGTAGGGCCTTGGCCACTGCGGGGAGAAGAAATATGGGGCGGGCGGATGTTTGAGTAATGGAGGGAAGGGGAAACGGGTTTGTGTGGTTGGTTGGAGACGTCTTGAAACATCTGCAGGGTGCCTTGGAATGGAATGCATTCCATTTCGAGGCACTTTGTGTGTATAAGTGGGCACACAAGGTGCCTTGGAAGCGGGTGGGCACACAAGGTGCCTTGGAAGCGGGTGGGCACACAAGGTGCCTTGGAAGCGGGTGGGCACACAAGGTGCCTTGGAAGCGGGTGGGCACCTTACAAGCCCCAACCCGCTTCCCCATAGCCCTCATAGAGCATCACCACCAGTCGCGAATTGGGTAGTGCCTTGGCCACTGCAAGGGGGCCAGGAGAGGAACCTGGGACAGGTGGGTGAGTCGCAGGGAAGGGACTGCTGCGTGGCTTCTGTGAAGAGGCCCCCCTCATCCCTTGTAGAGCATCACATCACCACGAGTCGCGACTTGGGCAGTGCCTTGGGCACTGCAGGGGGGAAAGGAGAGGAAGCTGGGATAGGTGGGTGGGGGAAGAGGTGAGGGGGAAAGGTGGTGAGAGGCGTCTCGTCACATTTGGTGAGGGGGAAAGGTGGTGAGAGGCGTCTCGACACATTTTCATTTTCATGACGCCCTCAGCGTGCGCCTGAAACATGCATGGAGACCCGCACACACACACACACACACACACACACACACACACACACACACACACACACACACACACACACACGCATTCATGCATGCACCTACCTCCTGGTTTCTCTCAGCACGCATCACATAGTCGCGCAACGGTTGAACAGGAACAGCACCGCCAAGAGCACACATGCATAGACACACCCACCCATACACACACGCAAAAATACACACACGCACATATGTTCACCCAAGTGCATTCGGACATGTATGCACGCACCTATCTCCTGCGCCCTCTCTGCGTGCGTCACATAGTCCCCAGAATGGTTGAACAGGGAGAAGCGCCGGGAGCACAGGCCATCACGCGCATACATATACCCCACACAAACACCCTTATACATGCACACACACACACCCACCCCCACGCACCTATCTCCTGCGCCCTCTCTGCATGCGTCACATAGTCGCCCGAATGGTTGAACAGGGAGAAGCGCCGGGAGCTTGCCACGTTGACAGGCGCCAGCAGGAAGACCAATGTGGGGCTGCCAGCTGGACAGGCGTGAAGAGAGATACAGAGAAGAGAGGAGAACAGGACAGCAGAGGGATACAAAGGAAGGCAGGGAAGAAGCAAGGGGGAAGAAATGCTTTGACATCATGGGCACGGCACAGGCACGGCACAGGCACGTGCACGTCCAAGGCAATCACGATTCTGTGCAGCAATAATAACAACAATGGGCAGGCGGGTGTGGCTGCGCTGCGCTGCCCCACTTGAACACGCCTGAGAGTAGGCAATGCTGCGCTTCACTGTGCCGCCCCTATGCTATTGACCAGGGAATATTACCCTTTTCAACTCACCTCAAAGCATTGAAAACTATCAGCACAAGCACTCACAATCCGGCTCGAAGTTGGCAGCAATGGTGAGGACGATGGGCAGGCGGGTGCGTCTGCGCCCCTCAAGACCTTCAACAGCACGATTCTCTCCCGTCAACATGCCTCGCAATGCTAGTTACTATCAGCACAGGCACTCACAATCCGGTTCATAGTTGGCAGCAGTGGAGTGGTGAGCACGATGGGCAGGCGGGTGCACCGGCGCCCCTCAAAGGCCTTCATGAGCGTCTCCCTGGCCACCTCTGCTGACACCAGCAGCATCTCCTAAGGAACCTCAGACTCACAGTCAGCCTCGTAATTGGCCACGGTGGTGAGCACGATGGGCAGGCGAGTCCTCCTGCGCCCCTCAAACGCCTTCATGAGCGTCTCCTTCGCCACCTCTGCCGGCACCAGGCGCATCTTGGATGCCGCCTGCACTGCCACCCACCCATACGCGCCCCCTCCCGTGGGATTCTCCTCTGTGGAAGGGGTTGGGTTGGGGGAGTGAATGTGCATGGATGAAGGAGTAAGAGCACGCCACCTCTGCCGGCACCAGGCGCATCTTGGATACCGATGGGATCATGGGAAGGAGATGGATGCGCGGAGCTGGGGAGTGAGGTGATGAGTAGGATAGAGAAGAACGCGGAAAGGGGAGGAGGGGAGGCGGGTGGGGAGATGGCCAAAACATAAGGGAGAGCAAGTGAGGGAGAGCAAGTGAGGGAGAGCAAGTGAGGGAGAGCAAGTGAGGGATAGCAAGTGAGGGATAGACATCAGTGGCATGGCATGGCATGGCATGGCATGGCATGGCATGGCATGGCATGGCATGGCTGGCCCCAGATACCATCCCATGCAGGGTGCTTGGTTTGGTGGTTCAAAGAGGACACATACCGTGCAGCAGCAGGAAGAAGAGAAAGACGATATTTGGGATGTCTCAAACGCGGTTCGAAGAGCACACGTACCGTGCAGCAGCAGGAAGAAGAGGAAGGAGAGCATCACAAGCAGCACCAGCGCCTGCACTCCCAGCAGCACCTGCACACACAGGTACACACACACACAGCAACAGGGAGCATGACAGCACATCACAATGCAGGTAAACATCGTTGCACCATGCAGCAGCAGGAAGACGAGGAAGGAGAGCATCACAAGCAGCACCAGCACCTGCACTCCCAGCAGCACCTGCCCAGATTCAGCAGATTACTCGTCATGTGAAGGGCGGGGAGGGTTGGGAGAAACATGGGGGAGAGGTGAGCGGATGAGAGGAGGGCAACACGACAGCATCGTACGATGCTGTTGTACAGTATGGTGATGTACGGTACAATGCTGTACGGTACGATGCTGTACGGTACGGTACGATACATTCCTGTACACGGATGATGGATTCAGCCATATGCAGCCCTCACCTCACCCCATACCTGCAGCCACACCACACTACAGTGTGTTCCAGAGAATAAACCGTTTCATCCGCCAGCATCTCTTTGAGAAGCTCCAGTATGTCTCCCACCTGGTGAGTCCACCCCTTACCTGCAGCCACACCACAGTGTGCTCCAAAGAGTCAATCGTCCCGTCCGCCAGCACCTCCCTCAGCCGTGCCTCCGCATGCGCCCGTGCCGGGCGGCAGGCCTTGAGCTCCTTGCGCAGCCGCTCCCTCTCCGCCGCCCACTCCTCGTGGTCCCGTGCCGCCCGCTCCGCCGTGTCTTCTAGCTCTGCCAGGCGGGTGAGGTCGGTGACCTGCGTGCGGTGCTTGCACGCCGTAGTGTTGGCCTCCAGACCCCGTTTAGCATGGTCGCAAAGAGCTCTTTCCACCACCACCTCCCTCTCGCATACTGCCCGCTCCTTGTTGCTTAGCTGGGTAGTAGCGGAGAAGATAAGGGAGAGGGTCAAAGGTATAAGGGAGAGGGTCGAAGGTATAAGGGAGAGGGTCGAAGGTATACGGGAGGGGATGAGCGAGGGTAACCTCAGAGGCGATCACTACGTGTGCCTGGGGGTGTCTGTCCTCGAGCTCCGCCAGGCGGGTGAGGTCGGTGACCTGCGTGCGATGCTTGCACGCCGTCGTGTTGGCCTCCAGACCCCTCTTGGCATGGTCGCAGAGGGCCCGTTCGACGACCACCTCCCTCTCGTATACTGCCCGTTCCTTGTTGCTTAGCCGGGGTAGGCGGGGAGACGAGAATCGATTTCACACGTGTCCCCCTGAATGAACACACCTTGATTTCACACGCGTCCCCCTGAATGAACACACCTTGATTTCACACGCGTCCCTCGGCGCGCAGCAGAGTGAGCTCCATATCGCACTCGGCGCGCATCATTGCGTCCGCATTGCACTCGGCACTCACCCACCAGCCTCTCTCCCTCTCGTCACCAATCTAGCCTCATCGCATCTTGATAGCACACACCTAAATCTCATCCCAACACCCTTATTCATCACCACCTCCTAGCGCACCTTGCATCCATTCCATCCTGCATGCACAAACCTGAACCCCATCCCATCTCGACTGCACGCCTGCCCGCACCTTGATCTCGCAAGCATCCAGCTCGCCGCGCAGCAGAGTCAGCTTCATGTCACACATCTCTCCGGTATCACTTTCTCCTATTCTGATCGCTCATGTCGGCGCCAACCTCACCTCATTCTATTCTGATGCATGCACGCACTGGCATGGCATCTCACACGCAGCGCACCTTGATCTCACAGGCGTCCAGCTCGGCGCGCAGCAGAGTGAGCTCCATGTCGCACTCGGCGCGCATCACCAGCCTCTCTCGGTCAAACTCTGACGCCTGCAGCTTGCGCACCTTCTCACACTCCGCCTCTAGCTCCTGGAAGGAGGTGGAATGTGGTGGAATGCGGTGGAATGTGGTGGAATGGGGTGGAATGCACAGAACAGGAGAGGGAACTTGAACAAGGGAGCACTCAGCGCACATCACCAGCCTCTCTCAGTCAAACTCTGATGCCTGCAGCTTGCGCACCTTCTCACACTCCGCCTCCAGCTCCTGCAATGTGGTGGAATGCGGTGAAAGACGGTGGAAGGCACAGAGAATATCAACGCTGAGACGTCTCAGGGAAACTTCTTTTGTCCTTCCTTTCCCACTGAAGCCCACCTTCTCTTTGATGAACTTCTCCTGGCGGCACTGCATCCTCTCCACTCGCCAAACCGCTGGTCCCTTCATTGATGCTTCCCCACCTCTGCCCAAACAAAGCAGTGCGGAAACCAGCAGCAGTCCGCCTTGTCCTTCCTTCCCCTCTAAAGCCCACCTTCTCCATTAAAGCCCACCTTCTCTTTGATGAACTTCTCCTGGCGGCACTGCATCCACTCCTGGAACCGCTGGTCGCGCTCCAGCTTCAGCCGCTCGTGGTCCCTCGCCTTGCGCTCCGCATCCTTCACCATCTCCTCGTACGCGTTGCCGCACCAGCTGCAGCAGTCACAGGGAGCGGACGGCACAAGAGCGAGAGGTTGAACCAGAGGGGGAGAGGAGGCGGGGGGGTTGGTGGTGGTCGAGTCATCTCACCTTGCGCTCCGCGTCCTTCACTTCACCACCTCCTCGTACGCGTTACCGCACCAGCTGCAGGGAACACAGTGAGAGCAAGCGGTTGGACCAGAGGGGAAGAGAAGGTGGGGGGAGTGGTGGTGGTCAAATCATCTCGCCTTGCGCTCCGCGTCCTTCACTTCACCACCTCCTCGTACGCGTTACCGCACCAGCTGCAGGGAACACAGTGAGAGCAAGCGGTTGGACCAGAGGGGAAGAGAAGGTGGGGGGAGTGGTGGTGGTCAAATCATCTCGCCTTGCGCTCCGCGTCCTTCACTTCACCACCTCCTCGTACGCATTACCGCACCAGCTGCAGGGAAGGAAGGGAGAGGAGGGGGGATTGAGTGGTGGAGGAAAGGGGGAGAGAGTGTGTTTCAGGTGCATTTCCAGGTGGGAAGTTCACGACGACTCGGGGCGTCAACATCACAGCCTTCAGGCGGCGTGTGGCTTGTTTCAGCCACGACGAACACGAAACGAACGTTAAGGAAGAACGAAACCGAGTAAATGCTGATTTGCAGCGCAGGGAACCTAGTACACTGAGAGAACCTTGTACACTGACGCTTCCGAGAACTCTCAAAAGCGACTCCAATATGAGTGCAGCCAGGGAAGGAGGGAGGGAAGGAGGGAGGGAAAGAGAGAGAGAGAGACGTACGCAGAGAGAACCTTGTACACTGACGCTTCAGTCCCGGGCTCGTTGACCACTGGCCATGTCCACTTGGCAGCGTCTGATTGGCGCAGAGGGGGGAAAGAGGGGGTGGGTGGGAAGAGGGGAGGGACGGGAGTTGGCAAAGGGATGCAAAAAGGATAGAAGGATTTGCGCTCGCGTGACGCGGCGTGTGTCGCGGCGTGTGTCGCGGCGAGTGACGCGCGAGGGTCTCCTCTCGTGCTGCGGTTGTGACAGTGATGCTCCTGCTGATGACGACGATGATAGTTGAAAACAGCGATGGCAAGGAAGCTTCGCCACGTGGAAGACTCAAGTGGTCTGCTGACGCTAAGATCATGTCAGCAGAATTGGACAAGGACATATAACAGCCCTATTGTTGGAACCATAAATGAACCTAGAGATTGCCGATTGCGAATGCTACTCATCAGTAACAAGCACGTGGACACAAGACGCGGGCTTGACGGAGCCTACACCGACTGGACAGGTACCGCCACGTGCGCTGACATCGCTGACCGAAAATGCTAAATAAATCGGCATTGACCCGACAGGTGATTTCCTGTTTTCGAATGTTGAGGCGCCTCAAAAGACGCGGACATCATTGACCGAAATGCGAGGAAAACAAATATATCGCCACTGACTTGACAGGTAGTTTCCCGTTTTTCCAGAAATAGTTTCTTCCTCGTCGTCGTCTGCAGCGGCTGAGCATTTCGTCAGAGCGCCGAGACAAAGCAACGCCACTAACCCTAATGCCGGCCAGCCGCGCCGGCAGACCAATTTGGCCATCTTAGTCGACCAGGTCATCAGACACTTCCGAACTATCAGACCGTCTAGCTACGAATAACTACTGAAGACGCGACATGGCTAGAAGTGCAAGGTGTCTAATTGGTGATGCTGTGAGTCCTCAACCACTCTGACCTATTTCACGCGCATCTTCTAAACGCGGACAGCGTTCCGTCTGTGCAACGTTTAGAAATCATGTAGCTGCTAAGCTAGTATATGTTAGCATTCCAATTGTATTCTGAATTGTAGCTTATCAGGATCAAGTACAATCTCCTCGTCATATTCTATAAGAGAGTGCAGGGAGAAAGTGCTCTGCGGACGCTGCTGCCGCCGCTGTGCAGTACCCATAAAACCAGAACCTCCACCACCAGGACTGCCTCGCTGAATAACTTACTCACGAAGCTGCTGAGGGGTGGGGTCGTCTGGGAGCGGCAGAGCCCGCTGCTGTCCACCCCTAGCCGCTGCAACTACCGTGACAGTGGCCATGACAGGCAGTGACAATCAGTAACAGGTCCAGCACCTCCAGCACCAGCAGCACCTCCAGCAGCACCTCCAGCACTAGCAGCACCTCCAGCACTCCCAGCAGCACCTCCACCAGCAGCAGCAGTAGGACGAGCAGCAGCAGTAGTAGCAGCAGGGCGGCTCGATGGGGCTGGTGAATGGGGCATGGGGGCGCGGCTCGGGTTGGGCAGGGCGGCTCGGGCTGGGCAGCGCGGCTCGGCTAGGGCGACGCGGCTCGGCCTGGGCGGCGCGGCTAGGCAAGGCAGGGCGCGCCGGGGGCTGCAGAGCAGGGCGCATGGTGAACAGGGCAGCAGGGCGCGCGCTGGGCAGGGCAGCAGGGCACGACGCGCGGGCTGCATCAGGGCGCAACGCGAGGGCTACAGTAGGGCGCGACGCGCGGGGCAACAGGGCGTGACGCGCGGGCTGCAGTAGAGCGCGACGCGCGGGGCAGCAAGGTGTGACGCGCGGGCTGCAGTAGGGCGTGACGCGCGGGGCAGTAGGGTGCAACTCGCGGGCTGCAGGGCGCGACGCGTGGGCTGCAGCAGGGCGCGACGCGCAGGACAGTGGGGCGCGCGCTGGGCAGGGCAGCAGGGCGCGACGCGCTGGGCTGCAGGGCAGGGCGGTGCACGGGCCTAAGGGCGGGGCAGCGCGGCTCGCGAGCTGCAGGGCAGGGCGGTGTGCAGGCCTAAGGGCAGGGCAGCGTGATGCACGGGCTGCAGGGCAGGGGCTGCTCGCGGGCAGCAGGGGCGCTCGGGGCAGGGGCTGCTCGCGGGCAGCAAGGGCGCTCGTGGCAGCAGGGCAGAGCGCTAGGGCAGAGCGCTAGGGCTGGCAGTGCGAGTAGCTGCAGGGCAGCGTGACACTGTGCGAGAGGGCCGGACAGCGCAAGGGTGCTTCGGGCAGGAACTAGCAGAACGATCGGTGGGCCCTAAACACCTAACAGGTTTCCTGCTCTGAATACCATGTCAGAATCAACTGTGAAAGAATGAATGAACTATGAATGAACTGGGTACAAGTACTAACCCTAACGTGTTGTACCCCTTGTAGGTTGACCCACTATAGCCTAGAGAGAATACAAACATACAATGTTGATGGATTGTAGCTATTTTACTTTTTTATTATTCTATGAAGGCATAGCTCCAAGCTGTGAAGATGTATTGCAAGGAAAAAAAAATTTCCTTACTTTTCATCCATACTCAGCGCGTACACCGCTGTTGCCACCAACAGCACCCAATAGTAAACCCACTCGCGACACTCGCTTCGATACTGTTCCTGCCACTGTTCACGACGCGACCCTACCTCACGGCCTGGTTGGTAACCCTCGCTCCGGACCTCCACCTCAACAATTCCCAACCTCGGCGCTGGGCCCGTCGCGCACCCCATTTGCACGCATTTGACAGTGCAATTCTCATGCCTTCGCTCATGCCTTCGCTCATAAGACTCTTGCTTTGATAGTGCAATTCTCGCTCGTTCACTCAATTGCACTCGTAACACTTGGTATTCAGAGCCTATGATCTCTTCTCGGACCGCACACACACCTTCGCTTCCCCACTATCTCAATTTTTGGGGGGGTAGATGTCTCTCAGCGAACAAGCACCGCCCGCTCGAAGTGCTCTCTCGTAAGCACGCACGACCACGATAGAGGCTCTCGCTGAGCTTGCCCAACACCGCCGCCATGGCCGAATTCAATCTCGCGACGCTGACGCATAAGCAACTCGACCGTCTCGTGCGCCAACTCGAAGTTTCGGTGCTCAAAATTGCTGCACTTACAGCGGAACGCGACTCCGCTCGCCAGCAATCAATGGTGAATGCTCCAGCACCACGACACGCACCTGCAAATGCACCCGCGCAATTAGAAGAACCAATCGTCATCTCATCAGGCACAACGACACAACATGGCAGCGTGGGACAGCGCTCAGGCGTAGCCAGTAATGGCGCCGCTCAATCAATGCCTGGCATGGACAGGAACAGGGCCGCACCAAACCTGCGGGAGCCACGCGAAGCCCGTTGGCATGTGGAGTTCGCAGCAACAAGTGGCGACCACACCATCATGGCACCAATGCCACTCAAGCCGCAGCGCCCGCCCTGTTTCGATCTGAGCCAACGTGGAGGTCCGACGGTTCAATCGTAGGTCTTCACGATAAACGCTTTTTTCGAAGCGAATTACGTGAACTCAGACGCAGCGAAGATTCGCTACGCTGTCTCGCTGCTAAGGGGCCCCACCATGGACTGGTGGCGAGTCATCGTGATATCGCCCCGCGCCTACGAGCCACCGTCGCAAGAGGGAAGCCCATGGGCCCAGCCGTGACTTGGAGTTCATTTTGCGAAACCGCCTAGTACAGCACGTGGGATGCGTGGTGTGCAGGGCTTCGGGCGCGCTTCGAGCCAATCGCGGCTTCTATTTCGGCGTGTCAGAGACTGCGTACTTGGCGCCAGCTCGGATCAGTTCAAGACTACACCAGCGGTTTTCTCGCTCTATGCGAGCAAGTCGGCTACATGCACGAGGCGGAGCAGGTGGACCGTTACGTCGGCGGTCTGAAGCCGGACATCTCGCACGAGGTTATGCTACGCGGGCTATCAAATTTCAACAAAATCATCGCGCTCGCGAAGAAAATCGATATCCTACGCCGACCAAAACTGGGGTCCTACTACGGACATCGCCCTCGGGGACCGAACGAGCACGCCACGGTACACGCCATTGCGGCAAATGCAGCTGCCGCGCCGTTTAAGGGGCGCTTCTTTGCTTGCAATAGGCCGGACCATCGCAATAGTGAATGTCCAGAAAAGCTGAGGCGTCGTGGAGAAGAGCAGGGGAGGGAGTCTCAGAGGCAGGGAAACGCAAGCAGTCAGTAGAAGTTGGGCCAACAACTAACGAGACTGCCTGCTCGCCCAACCTCACCGACCCTTACCAAGTCATTATACCGATTTACGCCATCAATCGGGCTCGGATGAATAAGGAGGGTACAGCGACGGGTTGCCAAGTACTGATTCACGCAAAAATACAGGGAGCAGCAGTGAAGATTTTTATCAACGGAGGAGCAAGTCAGAGCTTAGTAAATACCGCGACTTTGCCAAGACAGCATTCAGGACTAGGTACGAGTCATTCGAGTACATCGTGATGCCATTCGGGCTGACCAATGCACCGGCGACGTTTCAGATGACTAGGAACGAGGTGTTTAGACCGTTTTTAGATAAATGCGTGATAGTTTACATCGATGACATCCTCGTCTACAGTCGCGACAAGCAGCAACACTTAGCAGATCTGGAAGCAGTATTTAATATTTTAGACGAGCACCGCCTACTGACCAAGGGTTCCAAGTGCGAGTTTTTTCAGGACATGCTAGAATTCCCAGGGCACGTTATTTCGAAGGCTGGGGTTGAGATCGACCCAAAGAAGCTGGACACGGTGAAAGCGTGGCATCCCCCGGCAAACATCACGGAGCTGCAGAGTTTTTTAGGTTTCGTTAATTATGTGCGTCGGT